ACCCGATTTGTCCCACTCGCTGTCTGGTCACCCTAGGGGGGCAGCTGAAAGGAGCAGGGGCCTGGGCCTGAGGAAGGGGCAGGGTCTGCATGGGGAGGTGTGGCAGGGGCGTAGTCTGACGGGAGGGGAGGGGTCTGCATGGGGAGGTTGGGCAGGGGGCGGGATCCGATGGGAGGGGGCGGGGTCTGCATGGGGAGGTGGGGTGGGGGCGGGGTCTGATGCGAGGGGCGGGGTCTGCATGGGGAGGTGGGGGCGGGGACGGGGTCCGATGGGAGGGGCGGGGTCTGCATGGGGAGGTGGGGCAGGGGGCGGGATCTGATGGGAGGGGCGGGGTCTGCATGGGGAGGTGGGGTAGGGGGCGGGGTCCGATGGGAGGGGCGGGGTCTGCATGGGGAGGTGGGGTAGGGGGCGGGGTCCGATGGGAGGGGCGGGGTCTGCATGGGGAGGTGGGGGCGGGGTCGGGGTCCGATGGGAGGGGCGGGGTCTGCATGGGGAGGTGGGGGGGGGCGGGGTCCGATGGGAGGGGCGGGGTCTGCATGGGGAGGTGGGGCAGGGGGCGGGGTCCGATGGGAGGGGCGGGGTCTGCATGGGGAGGTGGGGCGGGGGCGGGGGTCCGATGGGAGGGGCGGGGTCTGCATGGGGAGGTGGGGCAGGGGGCGGGGTCCGATGGGAGGGGCGGGGTCTGCATGGGGAGGTGGGGCAGGGGGCGGGGTCCGATGGGAGGGGCGGGGTCTGCATGGGGAGGTGGGGCAGGGGGCGGGGTCCGATGGGAGGGGCGGGGTCTGCATGGGGAGGTGGGGCAGGGGCGGGGTCCGATGGGAGGGGCGGGGTCTGCATGGGGAGGTGGGGCGGGGGCGGGGTCCGATGGGAGGGGCGGGGTCTGCATGGGGAGGTGGGGCGGGGGCGGGGGCCGATGGGAGGGGCGGGGTCTGCATGGGGAGGTGGGGCAGGGGGCGGGGTCCGATGGGAGGGGCGGGGTCTGCATGGGGAGGTGGGGCAGGGGGCGGGGTCCGATGGGAGGGGCGGGGTCTGCATGGGGAGGTGGGGCAGGGGGCGGGGTCCGATGGGAGGGGCGGGGTCTGCATGGGGAGGTGGGGCAGGGGGCGGGGTCCGATGGGAGGGGCGGGGTCTGCATGGGGAGGTGGGGGTAGGGGGCGGGGTCTGATGGGAGGGGGCGGGGTCTGCATGGGGAGGTGGGGCAGGGGGGCGGGGTCTGATGGGAGGGGGAGGGCGGGGCGGGGTCTGCATGGGGAGGTGGGGCAGGGGGCGGGGTCTGATGGGAGGGGCGGGGTCTGCATGGGGGGAGGTGGGGCAGGGGCGGGATCCGATGGGAGGGGGCGGGGTCTGCATGGGGAGGTGGGGTAGGGGGCGGGGTCTGATGGGAGGGGCGGGGTCTGCATGGGGAGGTGGGGCAGGGGGCGGGATCCGATGGGAGGGGCGGGGTCTGCATGGGGAGGTGGGGTAGGGGGGGGCGGGGTCTGATGGGAGGGGCGGGGTCTGCATGGGGGAGGTGGGGCGGGGGCGGGGTCCGATGGGAGGGGCGGGGTCTGCATGGGGAGGTGGGGTAGGGGGCGGGGTCCGATGGGAGGGGCGGGGTCTGCATGGGGGAGGTGGGGGCAGGGGGCGGGGTCCGATGGGAGGGGCGGGGTCTGCATGGGGAGGTGGGGTAGGGGGCGGGGTCTGATGGGAGGGGCGGGGTCTGCATGGGGAGGTGGGGCAGGGGGCGGGGTCCGATGGGAGGGGCGGGGTCTGCATGGGGAGGTGGGGTAGGGGGCGGGGTCTGATGGGAGGGGGCGGGGTCTGCATGGGGAGGTGGGGCAGGGGGGGGGCGGGGTCCGATGGGAGGGGCGGGGTCTGCATGGGGAGGTGGGGCAGGGGGCGGGGTCTGATGGGAGGGGCGGGGTCTGCATGGGGAGGTGGGGCAGGGGGCGGGGTCTGATGGGAGGGGCGGGGTCTGCATGGGGAGGTGGGGCAGGGGGGGCGGGATCCGATGGGAGGGGGGGGGCGGGGAGGGGCGGGGTCTGCATGGGGAGGTGGGGCAGGGGGCGGGGTCTGATGGGAGGGGCGGGGTCTGCATGGGGAGGTGGGGATGGGCCCAGCCAATAGGGGAAGGACGGGCAGGGGCCGGGAGCCCAGTAACACAATGGGCGTGGCCAGAGTTGTGCGGCTCGAGCATGGGGCGGGGCCTAGCGCAGCAGAGGTGGAGGAGGGGCCAACTTGAGTAACGGGCGCGGCGCGAGTGGGAAAAGCGACTGGGCGGGGCCTATATGAAGGGCGGGGCCTGAGTCTGGAAAGGAGAATGACAGGGTGCGGCACTTCCGCATTTCAGTGACGTCAGGCGCAATCGTCCAATCCGGACGCGAAGCGGATTGTTGCGCGCGGACGTTGGGCACGTCGAGTGGCACGTGGGCCATGGGGCAGGTCCCGCGCATGCGCACAACCAGACATCGTTCCCCCTGCGCAGGCGCGGTGCCGTCGGGCGGGGCGGTTCCGGGTGCGGCTGCGGCAGCGGGGATCGGATCGCAGCGGCCATGGCGGCGGCGACAGCGGCGGCCCCGGGGGGGCCCGGCCCGGTGCCGGGGGCGCCCAAGCTGGGGGTGGAGTCGGTGAAGGGGCAAGTGTTCGACGTGGGGCCGCGATACACGGACCTGCAGTACATCGGGGAGGGGGCGTACGGCATGGTCTGGTGAGCGCCGCCGGCCGCGGCCCGATCCCTCCCGGCCACCGTACCCGGCCCCTTTCCCCCGGCCCGGCCACCGTACCCGGCCCGATCTCCCTCCCCCGCCCCTCCCGGCCCCCGTACCCGGCCCCTTTCCCCCGGCCCGGCCACCGTACCCGGCCCCTTTCCCCCGGCCCGGCCACCGTACCCGGCCCGATCTCCCTCCCCCGCCCCTCCCGGCCCCCGTACCCGGCCCCTTTCCCCCGGCCCGGCCACCGTACCCGGCCCCTTTCCCCCGGCCCGGCCACCGTACCCGGCCCGATCTCCCTCCCCCGCCCCTCCCGGCCCCCGTACCCGGCCCCTTTCCCCCGGCCCCTTTCCCCCGGCCCGGCCACCGTACCCGGCCCCTTTCCCCCGGCCCGGCCACCGTACCCGGCCCGATCTCCCTCCCCCGCCCCTCCCGGCCACCGTACCCGGCCCCTTTCCCCCGGCCCGGCCACCGTACCCGGCCCGATCTCCCTCCCCCGCCCCTCCCGGCCCCCGTACCCGGCCCCTTTCCCCCCGGCCCGGCCACCGTACCCGGCCCCTTTCCCCCGGCCCGGCCACCGTACCCGGCCCCTTTCCCCCGGCCCGGCCACCGTACCCGGCCCGATCTCCCTCCCCCCGCCCGTCCCGGCCACCGTACCCGGCCCCTTTCCCCCGGCCCGGCCACCGTACCCGGCCCGATCTCCCTCCCCCGCCCCTCCCGGCCCCCGTACCCGGCCCCTTTCCCCCGGCCCGGCCACCGTACCCGGCCCGATCTCCCTCCCCCGCCCCTCCCGGCCACCGTACCCGGCCCCTTTCCCCCGGCCCGGCCACCGTACCCGGCCCGATCTCCCCTCCCCGCCCCTCCCGGCCCCCGTACCCGGCCCCATTCCCCCGTCCCGGCCACCGTACCCGGCCCCTTTCCCCCGGCCCGGCCACCGTACCCGGCCCGATCTCCCTCCCCCGCCCCTCCCGGCCACCGTACCCGGCCCCTTTCCCCGGCCCGGCCACCGTACCCGGCCCGATCTCCCTCCCCCGCCCCTCCCGGCCCCCGTACCCGGCCCCATTCCCCCGTCCCGGCCACCGTACCCGGCCCCTTTCCCCCGGCCCGGCCACCGTACCCGGCCCGATCTCCCTCCCCCGCCCTCCCGGCCACCGTACCCGGCCCCTTTCCCCCGGCCCGGCCACCGTACCCGGCCCCTTTCCCCCGGCCCGGCCACCGGCCGTTTTACTCGCCCCGCCCTTCTCCGAGCCTCCTGCTCGCAGCGCTGCCGCCCCCGGGGTACAATCCTGTCCCGGCTCCGGGAGGCGCTCGGGGGGGAGGGGCTGCCAGCCGGACTCCTGGGTTCCGGTGCCCCGTGGTGCCGAGGGGGGCTCTGCCGCGGGAAGCCGAGGGCCGGGCCGGCTCCCCGTGCGCCCTCCGTGCCCCATGGCCTCCCCTCTCTGCCCAGCTCGGCCTACGACCACGCGAGCAAGATCCGGGCGGCCATCAAGAAGATCAGCCCCTTCGAGCACCAGACCTACTGCCAGCGCACCCTGCGCGAGATCAAAATCCTGCTCCGCTTCCGGCACGAGAACATCATCGGGATCAACGACATCCTGCGGGCCGCGGCCATCGACCACATGCGCGACGTGTATCCTCCGCCGAGCCCGCGCCCGGCACCCGCCGGGGCCCCCTGCGCCCCGCCCTGCCCCAGGGGAGTCCCGTCCCCGCACCGGGCCAGGGGCCCCGGGATCCCGGCCCTGCCCCAGGGGAGTCCCGTCCCCTCACCGGGCCAGGGGCCCCGGGATCCCGGCCCTGCCCCAGGGGAGTCCCGTCCCCGCACCGGGCCAGGGGCCCCGGGATCCCGGCCCTGCCCCAGGGGAGTCCCGTCCCCTCACCGGGCCAGGGGCCCCGGGATCCCGGCCCTGCCCCAGGGGAGTCCCGTCCCCTCACCGGGCCAGGGGCCCCGGGATCCCGGCCCTGGCCCAGGGGAGTCCCGTCCCCTCACCGGGCCAGGGGCCCCGGGATCCCGGCCCTGCCCCAGGGGAGTCCCGTCCCCTCACCGGGCCAGGGGCCCCGGGATCCCGGCCCTGCCCCAGGGGAGTCCCGTCCCCTCACCGGGCCAGGGGCCCCGGGATCCCGGCCCTGCCCCAGGGGAGTCCCGTCCCCGCACAGGGCCCCGGGATCCCGGCCCTGCCCCAGGGGAGTCCCGTCCCCTCACCGGGCCAGGGGCCCCGGGGTCCCGGCCCTGCCCCAGGGGAGTCCCGTCCCCTCACCGGGCCAGGGGCCCCGGGATCCCGGCCCTGCCCCAGGGGAGTCCCGTCCCTGCACTGGAGGAGGGGTCCCCGTGTGCCCAGCCCGCCACCCCAGAGGTGCCGCATCTCCTTACCAATTGTGTTATGCCCCTTGACCCCCATGCCTGCCCCCCCTCGGGGCGCCACCCCCCAGGTACATCGTGCAGGACCTGATGGAGACTGACCTGTACAAGCTACTGAAGACGCAGCAGCTGAGCAACGACCACATCTGCTACTTCCTGTACCAGATTCTGCGCGGCCTCAAGTACATCCACTCGGCCAACGTGCTGCACCGCGACCTCAAGCCCAGCAACCTGCTCATCAACACCACCTGCGATCTCAAGGCGAGGACACCCTCCCTGGCCAGCCCTCAGCCCAGCCCCACATCCCCTCTTCCCTGCCCCTGGGCCCAGGGTCTGCCACCCCAGGTTGGCCCCTCAGCCCAGCCCCCCCTGGTCTCCCCTACCCCTGGATTGGCCCAGCATGCAAGTCTTTCCCCCCACTCTATCCCCTCCCCCTTGAGCTCGGGGCGGAGGATTGGGCAGCCAGGACTAATCCTCCCTCCCCTCTCCAGATCTGTGACTTTGGTCTGGCCCGCATCGCCGACCCGGAGCATGACCACACTGGCTTCTTGACGGAGTATGTGGCTACCCGCTGGTACCGCGCCCCTGAGATCATGCTCAACTCCAAGGTGAGGGGCTGGAAGCCTGGCTCCTAGCTCTGGTTCAGGGCGTGCTGTCTCTGGAGAGTGAGAGCAGGGGGCTGGGAGCCAGGACACCTGGGCTCTGTCCCCAGCTCGGGGAGGAAGGGGGAATCTATTAGGTTGGAAGCCAGGATGCCTGGGTTCTATCCTGGCACCATGGGGGAGTGTCAGAGGAACCAGACCTAAGTTGATTTCCCTGGAATTTCCTTTTCTGGCCTCAGAGTAGCAGCCGTGTTAGTCTGTATCCGCAAAAAGAAAATGTGCCATTGTGGCACCTTAGAGACTAACCAGTTTATTAGAGCATTAGCTTTCGTGGGCTACAGCTCACTTCATCGGATGAAGCTCATGAAAGCTTAGGCTCTAATAAATTTGTTAGTCTCTAAGGTGCCACAATGGCACACTTTCTTTTTTCTGGCCTGTTTCTTCAGGCAGTCAAACCTGCAGCTGCAGCAGGATTGGGTGGGTGGGGTAAGAGCATGGGGGTGGCTCCCTGTCTCCGCCCCCTCTGACCCCTGTCTGTTGGTCCCCAGGGCTACACCAAATCCATCGACATCTGGTCGGTGGGCTGCATCCTGGCGGAGATGCTCTCCAACCGGCCCATCTTCCCTGGCAAGCACTACCTGGACCAGCTCAACCACATCCTGGGTGAGGGAGTGGGGCAGGGCATCTGGATGCTGATGTGTTGAGGGCCAACTGCTTATAAATGGGCAGGGCATCTTGGAACTGGGGGCGGGGCTACTGGAGCACTGAGAGGGGCAACTGGATGCTGAAGTCGGGGTGGGGCCTCCATGGAGGGGGATGAATATCTGGATGATGTAGCTATGGAGCGAGGCTGTCTCCAGAAGTGGGGCCTCTTGCTGCAGGGCTGTGTGGTATCAGGGCAGGGCCTAGGCTGGCCCCGCCCCTCTCCGTCCTGACTCCTCCCCCTGTGCAGGGATCCTGGGGTCTCCCTCGCAGGACGACCTGAACTGCATCATCAACATGAAGGCGCGGAATTACCTGCAGTCGCTGCCCCAGAAGGCCAAGGTGCCCTGGCCCAAGCTGTTCCCCAAGGCTGACCCCAAAGGTGAGGATCTGGCATCCCCTCCCCCAGGCTAGCCCTGCTGTGTCGTGGGGCTCCCCCGGATCCCACCTTCCCCTGGGAGCCCCCTGGTGGCTGCCCCCTCACCCTGCCCCTCCTCTCGTCCCTTCCACAGCCCTCGACCTGCTGGACAAGATGTTGACCTTTAACCCCAACAAGCGCATCACTGTGGAGGAGTCGCTGGCTCACCCCTACCTGGAGCAGTACTACGACCCCTCAGACGAGGTGGGGGTCCGCAGACGCCTGGGTCCCCTCCCCAGAGCTCGGGGGGAACGGGCTCTGGTGGTTAGAGCAGGGGGCCTGGGAGCCAGGACTCCTAGGTTCTGTCTGTGGCGCAGGGCGGGGAGTGGGCTTCTCTCCCGAGCGCTGGGTGGGGGTTGGCCCCAGACACCGCAGCTCACTGTCCCCTCCTCTCTTTGAAGCCGGTGGCCGAAGAGCCCTTCACTTTCGACATGGAGCTTGACGACCTGCCCAAGGAGAAGCTGAAGGAGCTGATCTTCGAGGAGACGGCGCGGTTCCAGCCAGGCTACCAGGGGCCGTGAGCGCTGGTCAGTGCCTCATTCCGCCCCAGGGGGCTGGGACACGGGGCCGTTCCCCTCCAGGGGGCACCAGCTCCCATCCGGCCCCGGGGGGCATACGGGGCCGTTCCCCTCCAGGGGGCACCAGCTCCCATCCGGCCCCGGGGGGGATGGGCTGGCTTGGGGGTCTCACTGCCTCTCTCTTTCCCACCCCCCAGGTCCGTCACGCTCCAGCCTAGACCTGCCTCCCTCTGAGAAGGTTTCGACCTGGCCCCTGCGCCCGGAGCGCCCCTCGGACTCTGACTGGGGGGCTAGGGGGCCCTGCCCGAGGGGGCCAGCCCTGCCATTGTGCTGTATAACTGCTTCGCAATGTGGCTGTGACTCCTTAACCCCCCCAGGCTGTGCCTCTGGGGGGGCCTGGCGGGGGGACCCAGTGCCCCCCTGATTCCTGGATGTGGAGGGGGAATCTCTCCTGCTTTGTATCTAATGAGTTAACAATTGTAATTAGCCCCTGCCTGCTGCTGGGAATGTGTGTGTGGGGGGGGAGACTGGGGGGTACTCCCCTAGGAGTTCCTATTGCCCCCAGTTCCTGTCTGTGTCATGGGGGGGCAGGGCTGCCCCTCCCATAGGGGGATATTCGTGCCCACCCAGCTAATATTTGTGTGTTGGGGTGGGGCTGGGAGCAGGTCCAGCCCCTTCCCCTTCCTTCCCTGCCTGCTCTAGTCTGGCAGGGAGGGGGGAGAATTTCTCCTCCTGCCTGGCCTGGGTGCGAAGTGATGAGCCAGGGCTGGTGGCTTCCCTGGGGGGAAAGAACCGCGGAGTCCGGGGGGGGGGGTTGGGGTGGGCAGAGATTTGTATTTTCAGTCCTCCCCCACACCTGGGGGTGCCATCTCCGTTCAAAGGGCTACGGCAGCACCTGATGCCTCCTCTTGGAGCCCCCCCAACTGACCTGCACATGAACCCCGGAACCTGGGTTCTGTACCCTCCACCCCCTCCAAAACCCACTAACAACACTCCCTCCCAGAGCCGGGAGAGAACCCCGGTGTGCTGGCTCCCAGCCCCCCACTCCCCTCCCAGAGCCAGGGAGAGAACCCTGGAGTCCTGGCTCCCAGCCCCCCACTCCCCTCCCAGAGCCAGGGAGAGAACCCTGGAGTCCTGGCTCCCAGCCCCCCACTCCCCTCCCAGAGCCAGGGAGAGAACCCCGGTGTGCTGGCTCCCAGCCCCCTACTCCAACAAAAGACTGGATCTGAAGGATCCTGTGGTTTTGTGAAGGGGCCACTGGGAGCTCAGACTCCTGGGTTCTACACCTCCCCCACCCCCATCTGTGCCTCAGTTTCCCTTTATGATTGGCTGCCAACCTGTCTGCAATGTGGGCTGATTGCTGGTCCTCCCTGCCCCACCAGCCACAGCCCCCTCATGTATGGGGGGGCCCCACGGGCAGCCTGCCCCCTAAGTGGGGGAAGCCGGCGTGTTGTCCGGCCCTGTGGGGTGGAATTGGCTGGGCTCTGGTGACCCTGCTATGGAACTGTACAGACCCCCCCAATAAACCGTTCTGAATCCCAGCGCCTGTGTCTGACTGGGGGGCGGCGCTGGGGAAGGGGGGGTAAGGCGGGTGCTCGCAGCAGGGGCGAGGGGAGCTGTGCTGAGGGGAAGGGGGGAGGCCAGGCCCCCTCCCCCGTGGCCAGGCAGATGGCTAATGAGTGAGGGGGGGGGTGTCCGCGGGGGGGGAGCAGCAGGTGGTGGACTTTGTCCCTGGGTGGTTGGGGGGCCGCGGGGGGGGGGGGGGTGTCCGGCGGAGGGGGGGGGGTGGGGGTGTGGGCGGGGGGGGGCCGCGGGGGGTGACGGGGTGGGGGCGTGGCGGGGGGGTGACGGGGTGGGGGGGCCGCGGGGGGGGTGCGGGGGGGGGGGGTGGGGGGTGGGGGGGGGTGACGGGGTGGGGACTGTGCCCGCGGGGGGGGCGGTGTCCCGCGGGGGGGGGACGGGGGTGGGGGCTGTGGCCGCGGGGGGGTGACGGGGTGGGGGCCGGGGGGGGGGTGTCCCGCGGGGGGGGGCTGTGGCGCGGGGGGTGACGGGGTGGGGGTGGCGGGGGGGGGGTGCGGGGGGTGACGGGGGGGCGGTGTCCCGCGGGGGGGCGTGTCCCGCGTGGGTGGCTGCTCTCGCCCGCCCCGCCCGGACCGGCTCCTCCAGCCCGGCCGGTCCCGGCCCCGCCGAGCCATGTTCGCCCCGCTGCTGCTGGCGCTGCCGGCCCTGGGGGGCTTCGCCCTGGCCTCGCTCTGCCTCCGCCGCCGGCCCGGGCTGCTGCACCGGCCCCGCCAGCCCCCGTTCCCCTGCCGCCACGTGTCCCACCGCGGGGGTGAGCGCCGGGGGGGAGGAGGCAGGTGTGGGGGGAGGGGCGGCAGGTGTGGGGGGAGGGGCGGCAGGGGCGGGGAGCTGGCGGGGGGAGGGGCGGCAGGGGCAGGGAGGAGGCAGGTGTAGGGGGAGGGGCGGCGGGGGCAGGTGCGGGAAGCTGGCGGGGGGAGGGGCGGCAGGTGCGGTGGGGGCAGGAGCAGGGAGGAGGAGGTGTAGGGGGAGGGGCAGCAGGGGCGGTGGGGGGGGGGGGGGGGGGAGGGGGGGCAGGGGCGGTGGGGGCAGGGGCAGGGAGGAGGCAGGTGGAGGGGGGGGGGGGGGGGGGGGGGTGGGGGGGGGGGGGGGGAGGGGGGGGAGTGGGGGGGGAGGGGCGGCAGGTGCGGTGGGGGCAGGGGCAGGGAGGAGGGAGGTGTAGGGGGAGGGGAGGCAGGTGTAGGGGGAGGGGCGGCAGGTGCGGTGGGGGGAGGGGCGGGGAGCTGGCTCAGGCCCATCAGTAGCCCGCACCTGGCTCTATAATCTGCTCTTTTCCCACACCTGTGGGGCGTGGTGGGGGGACGGCTTCCTTCCTTCTTCTGCTTGCCCTGAGTCGGGAGCGCTGCCATCCCAGACACCTGGGTCTCATCCCCGGGGGGGGGGGCGGCGACCGAGATGGGGTTGGAAACCAGGTGTCTGGGTACAAGACCCTCATTGCCCCCAGGGCAGGGGGAACAGGACCAGGGGGCAGGATAATCATCCCTGGGGTGGGGAGTAGTGAGGCCTGGGGGCTGGGAGCAATCGGGTTGGAGGACAGGGGGGCTGGGAGCAGTGGGACCTGGGGGGACAGGGAGCAGAGGGGCTGGGGGAGAGGGGGGCTAGGAGCACTGGGGCCTGGGAGGAATGTAGCTAGAGGACGGGGGGCTGCTCTGGGAGCATGGGGCCTAGAAGCAGTAGGGTGTGGGGGCAGGGGGGCTGGCCTGGGAGCAGGGGGCAGTGGGGCCTGGGAGCAGTAGGGTGTGAGGGCAGGGGGGCTGGGAGCAGCAGGGCAGGGGGGCTGGGAGCGGGGGGGGGGTGTCTCTGACCCGGGCACTCATTTCTCCCCCCATCGCCCCCAGGCTGCGGCGAGAGGATCGAGAACACCATGGAGGCTTTCACCAAGTGAGTGACACCCCCCCCCGCGCCCTCCCGAGCCTCCAGGCACCACCCCTCCAAGCACATCCCAGCCCCCGTCCCCGCTGTGCCCCTCCCCCCCACGCGCCCCTCCCCATTAGAACATGAGAGCGGTCAGGCTGGGGCAGCCCCAAGGCCCATCTAGCCCCATGTCCCGCGGCCAGGAATCATCCAGTGACCCAGCCTGCGCCCATTGTCAGCCCCTGGCAAGCAGAGGCCAGGGCCACCATCCCTGCCCAGCCTGGCTCATAGCCATTGAAGGACCTACCCTCCAGGAACATACCTAGTGCTTCTTTGAACCCGGTTCTAGTCTTGGCCTTCCCAACATCCTGTGGCGAGGAGTTCCCCAGGCTGTCCGGCATTGGGTGAAGAAATGCTTCCTTGTGTTTGTTTTAAACTTGCTGCCGATTAATGTCGTTGGGTGACCCCCCGCCCCCAGCAGCCCCTTCCCCTGCTGACCTCGTCTCCCCGCAGCGCGGTGGCCCAGGGGACCCAGCTGCTGGAGCTGGACTGTCAGCGCACGCGGGACGGGGTGGTGGTTGTGTCCCACGACCAGAACCTGCAGCGCCAGGCGGGCCGGGACCAGAACATCCGGGAGCTGGACTATGCGGTGAGACCCCCGGGACCCCCACCCCCATAGACAGCCCCTCAGGGACCCCCGACCCTCACCGAACCCCCCGGGACCCCCCACCCCCATAGACAGCCCCTCAGGGACCCCCGACCCTCACAGAACCCCCCCGGGACCCCCACCCCCATAGACAGCCCCTCAGGGACCCCCGACCCTCACCGAACCCCCCCGGGACCCCCACCCCCATAGACAGCCCCTCAGGGACCCCCGACCCTCACAGAACCCCCCTGGGACCCCCACCCCCATAGACAGCTCCTCAGGGACCCCCGACCCTCACAGAACCCCCCTGGGACCCCCACCCCCATAGACAGCCCCTCAGGGACCCTCATGGAACCCCTCACCCCATACACAGCCCCACGGGAACCCCCTGACCCCATGGAAACCCTCAACTCCCAGGATGTCTAACTACCCATAGACACCCCCAATCCATTGAACCCCCCAGCCCCAGGCCCCCAGCTGCTTGAGGCCAGGCCATGTGTGACCTGGACCTCCATGGTGACCCCCCACAGAGACCCTGGGAGCCCCCAACCCCAGACACCCCATGGGAAACCCCACACACTCCAAGCCCCCAAATACACCCCCTCACAGGAACCCTTCCCCAGCACCCCCAAACCCCATTCTGGGAACAGGCACCCTGGGGTGAGACCCCCCATCCCAACACCCTAGACCTCCCTGTCAGCCTCCAGCTGGATTACGAGCTGAGCCCCTCTGCCAAGTTAGCCCCTCTCCTAGGGGCAGCAGCCTGCCAACCCCCCCAGATTGCTGACTCCCCGCCTCTCTCCCCCAGGATCTGCCCCCCTACAGGGACCCCCTGGAGGTGACCTTCTCGCCTGGTAAGTGGTCAATTCCCTCCTGCCCTCCGCAGGAGGTGTCAACCTGCGGGGACCCCAGGGCTGGGAGTGTGGGGGGGGGAGAAGGGGGCTCTCCCCTGGGAGGGGTGGGGACAGGCCCACCATCATGGCGTCCCCAGGCGATGCTCGGGAACTGCTCCCTACGAAGCCAGGCAGGACTCTGGGGGAGTCTCTTCTCTGGGAGCAGCCTGTCTGCAGGACACACAGCTCACCCGGCTCCACCTTCCTGGGTCTGACCCCGGAGCCTCCAGTCTCCTCTGCCCCTCCGGGCGCTTCCCACAGCCAGTCCGCTCAGGCGGGGTCCTGGGGAAGCCAGAGGGTCCTGCCCCCCAACTCCGCAGTCAGACAGGACACTCAGCCAGCCAGGAAAACAGAAGGTTTATTAGACGACAGGAACATGGTCTAACACAGAGCTTGTAGGTACAGAGACCAGGACCCCTCAGTCAGGTCCGTCTTGGGGGGCAGGGAGGCCAGAGCCCCATCTGGGCCTCCCTCGCTTTACCCAGCCAGCTCCAAACTGAAACTCCCCAGCCCCTCCTCTCTCTCGCTCTCTCCCGGGCCAGGAGGCCACCTGATCTCTTTGCTCCCCAACACCTTCCGTTGCCACCTTGCAGAGGAGGGGCCCAGGCCATCAGTGGCCAGGAGACTGGGTTTTGGCCATTCTCTGTGCAGACAGCATCACACTGGCCCTCTAGGGCTCTGCCACAATCACACCCCCTGATCCCACCACCTGGATCCTTAAAAAAGGCCTAGGGGAAACTGAGGCACCCACCCAGTATTCAGAGAGAACATTAAGAACAGTCCCACTTCGTCACATCCACCCATTCAACACCTGCCTCCATCTTCCCCTCCAGGCACCGTCTCCCACGGCTCTGACCACCGCATCCCGCGCCTGGAAGACGTTTTCCAGAAATTCCCCCACATCCCCGTTAACGTGGAGATCAAAGAGGATGACGAGGAGCTGATCCGGCAGGTGAGGGACCCAGGCGTTCGGCCCCTGGCCCTGCCATTCACAGGGACTGGGCTGGGTATATGGGTATATATACCCAAGACTGTGGGTAACTCCCCAAGGCCTTGGGAGAACCACGGAGTCCTGGCTCCCAGCACCCCTGCTCTAACCCACCAGACCCTCCTCCCCTGCCCGAGCCAGGGAGCGAACCCAGGTGTCCTGATTGTCTGTCTGTCCTACCCTCAGGTGGCTGATCTTGTCCGTCGCTACCGTCGCTCCCACATCACCGTCTGGGCCTCCTTCCAGAGCAAAATCCTCAAGAAGTGCAAGGCAGCCGTACGTCTGTCCGACCCCCGTCCCCCCCACTCCATCTGTCCCACCCCCGTCCCTCCGTCTGTCCCACTCCTTCTGTCCCACCTCTGTCTGTCCGAGGCCCTGTCTGTCCGACCCCCGTCCCTCCGTCTGTTCGACCCCCTCTGTCTGACCCCGTCCCTCCGTCTGTCCCACTCCCGTCTTTCCGACCCCTGTGTGACGGAGCAGGGAGTGGGGCGGATTGACCTGGGAATGTGACAGGGGAGTTTACTGGGACTGTCCGCATTGGGGATGGGATAGCAGGGGGGGACTTAGATACCTGAGCCGGGGGGGGCGCAGGTGACACCTTCTGCCTGGGGAACTGGACAAAAGCTGGAGGAGGAGTCGGGGACAGACGGCTGGAGGGGGTGTCAGTTTGGAGCTGGCTGGGGAAAGGGAGGGAACCCCAGGGCTGGGGTCTGAGCTCCCTGCCCCCCAGAAGGACTTGACTGAGGGGTCCTGGGTGTACCCACAAGCTCTGTTTTGGGCTGTGTTCCTGTTGTCCAATAAACCTTCTGTTTTACTGGCTGGCTGAGAGTCTCAGGGAATCCCAGGAAGAGGGGTGCAGGGCCTGGACTCCCCCACACTCCGTGACAACTGTGCCTCCCGCCCACGCTGTCTGTCCACCTGGCCTCCCCACCCTCCCAGCAAGACACCCTCCCCCCAACTCCCCCTCTGTCCGTCCGTCCCCCCAGCTCCCCACACCCTGACCCTCTCTCCTCTCCCCAGAACCCCGACATGCCCTACGTCTTCTCCTTGCAGCGCGGCCTCCTGCTGCTGCTGCTGTACTACACCGGCCTGCTGCCCTTCGTCCCGCTGCCCGAGGCCTTCCTGCAGTTCCTGCTGCCCTCCATCATCAACAGGTGCCCGCCAGGCCCGGGGCGGGGAGCCCGGACGCCTGGGTTCTCCTGGCTCTGGGAGGGGAGTGGGGGTGGGTGGGTCAGAGCAGGGGGGTTGGGAGCCCGGACGCCTGGGTTCTCCTGGCTCTGGGAGGGGAGTGGGGGCGGGTGGGTCAGAGCAGGGGGGTTGGGAGCCCGGACGCCTGGGGTCTCCTGGCTCTGGGAGGGGAGTGGGGGCGGGTGGGTCAGAGCAGGGGGATTGGGAGCCCGGACCCCTGGGGTCTCCTGGCTCTGGGAGGGGAGAGGGGAGTCCAGGGGGTTAGAAAGGAGGGTGGGTCGGAGAAGCCCGGACACCTGGGTCCAATTGACATTCTCTCTCTCTCTCTCAGGACCTATTTCCCGGTGCCTAAAGGCTGCATGGGAAACCTGCTGGCAAAAGTCACCCACACGTGAGTGAAGGGGAGGGGACAGGAAAAGGCCACGCCCCCACCCAATCAAGAGACCCAAATTGCAAGCCACGTCCCCACCCCTTTTACCCCTTACATAGGTGGTCTCTGGTCCCCCTTTCCTTGCCCCCCTTGCTTAAAGGGAGGGGAAAGTGGAATGTGGCATTCGCAGCACTGGGGAAACATGGTGTTGTCCTGTCCCCCCCATCTCTGACTGTACCCCTCCCCCCAGGGTCACCATGAGGAAGAAACTCTTCAAACATCTGGAGGACAGAGGAATTCAGGTGAGGGCCCAGGGCTGGGCTAGCAGGGGGCTGCGGGTCGGGAGTGAGGGGCACCGGCAGAGCTGGGGTAGCAGGGGGCTGCGGGTCGGGAGTGGGGGGCACCAGTGGGGCTGGGCTGGGCTAGGCTAGCAGGGGGCTGCGGGTCAGGAGTGGGGGGCACCGGCAGGGCTGGGGGGGGCCAGGGCTGGGCTAGCAGGGGCTGCGGGTCGGGAGTGGGGGGCACCGGCAGGGCTGGGGGGGGCCCAGGGCTGGGCTAGCAGGGGCTGCGGGTCGGGAGTGAGGGGCACCGGCAGGGCTGGGCTAGCAGGGGGCTGTGGGTCGGGAGTGAGGGGCACCGGCAGGGCTGGGCTAGCAGGGGGCTGTGGGGCGGGAGTGGGGGGCACCAGTGGGGCTGGGCTGGGCTAGCAGGGGGCTGCGGGTCGGGAGTGAGGGGCACTGGCAGGGCTGGGCTAGCAGGGGGCTGCGGGTTGGGAGTGGGGGGCACCAGTGGGGCTGGGCTGGGCTAGCAGGGGGCTGCGGGTCGGGAGTGAGGGGCTCCGGCAGGGCTGGGCTAGCAGGGGGCTGCGGTTCGGGAGTGGGGGGCACCGGCAGGGCTGGGCTAGCAGGGGGCTGTGGGTCGGGAGTGGGGGGCACCAGTGGGGCAGGGCTGGGCTAGCAGGGGGCTGCGGGTCGGGAGTGGGGGGCACCGGCAGGGCTGGGGGGGGCCAGGGCTGGGCTAGCAGGGGCTGTGGGTCGGGAGTGGGGGGCAGCGGCAGGGCTGGGTGGGGGCAGGGGCTGCGGGTCGGATGTGGGGGGCAGCGGCAGGGCTGGGTGGGGGCAGGGGCTGTGGGTCGGCAGTGGGGGGCAGCGGCTGGGCTCTTTTCACGTCTGCTCCCTCCCCCAGGTGCTCCTGTGGGTTCTGAACGAGGAGAAGGATTTCGAGGAGGCTTTTAGCTGCGGGGTCTCGGGGGTCATGACCGACTACCCCACCCTGCTGCGCCGCTACCTGGACACCCACCCACCCCCCAGCCAGGACAAGACGGACGAGTGATGGGGCTGCTGCCCCTTCCTGCGGGTGCCTGATGGAGGGTTGGGATCGGGGTCTGCCCATGGTCATTCTCATAGCTGGGGGCTGTGGGTCGGGAGTGAAGGGCACTGGCAGGGCTGTGTTGGGGGGCCTGTGGGGTAGTGTTAAGGCTGTGTTGGGGGGGGCCGGGGGTTGGGTGTGAGGGGCACCGCCGGGGCTGTGTTGGGGGGGGTCGGGAGTGAGGGACACCCGCGGGGCTGTGTTGGGGGGGCCGTGGGTCGGGAGTGAGGGGCACCGCCGGGGCTGTGTTGGGGGGGGTCGGGAGTGAGGGGCACCGCCGGGGCTGTGTTGGGGGGGGCCGTGGGTCGGGAGTGAGGGGCACCGGCGGGGCTGTGTTGGGGGGGCGTGGGTCGGGAGTGAGGGGCACCGGCGGGGCTGTGTTGGGGGGGCGTGGGTCGGGAGTGAGGGGCACCGGCGGGGCTGTGTTGGGGGGGCTGTGGGTCGGGAGTGAGGGGCACTGGCAGGGCTGTGTTGGGGGGGGGGGTGTCTCATTAATAAATTCCCTTTCGATTTATTCGTGTCTGTCTCCTTCCCCTCGTGGGGGGGGTGGGGGTTGAGCAGAGGCCTGGGGCCGGGCTCTGTGATACCAGGGTGAGGGGCTGTGGGATGGGCAGGCCCAGACTGGGCCACAACCTGTCCCTGGAGCCAAGAGCTGGGCTCGCCCCTGGCAGCTCTCCCGGACACCTGGGTCCCTTTCCCCGCCAGGTGGGTGGGGCCCCCAGAGGGGGTGACTGAGGGAGGGTTCAGCTACCCTGCCGGGGCTGGGCTCCTCAATGCCCGCTCCCCCGGCCTGGCCCTGGTCCCCTCCCGCCTGGCTGGGAGTGCCCCCCCAGCTCCCCTTTCTCCCCCCCAGTTCCCCTTCCCTGGCCCTGAGTGCCCCCTCCCGCACCCAGCTCCTCCTCCCCGGCCCTCTCCACCCCACACACACCAGCGGTGCTGCCCCTTTAAGAGCCCCCCCCTTTTATTCAAATCTGCCCTCTGGTTCCGCCAAGCAGCGCCTCATTTGCATGCCGCCTTCCCATTGGCGGCGGGGGGTGGCGCGGAGGCTGCTGGGAAGAGGGGGCGGGGGGGTGCCAGCTGGTTTGTAAACAAGCGCTGGCGTCTGCGCTGAAGCCGCAGGGCTGGTGTCTGGGGGGGGCCCGCGCTGCGCCCCCGCCCGGCCCCTCACCCTCAGCGAGAGGACCCCGCCCGGCAGGGGCCAGGCCCACAGGTGCGACGCGGCCGGGCCCCTTTTGGGGCCGGGGGGGCCCGCGCTGGGGCCGGTTCTATAGGGGCCGGGAGGGGGGTTGCCTCTGGGCGGGGCTGTGGGTCCCCCATGGACGCGGGGGGGCCATGGGGCCGGTCCCCTTCCGCCGTCCGGGGGGCTGTGGGGGCGGACGGGCCCTTGGCGCGGTGGTTCGCGGCGGGCGGGGGCCCTGCAGGGGCCCCATGGGGAGCAGCTGGGCGGGCAGCGTCTCTAAGGGGGTTAGGCCAAGGGGGGCCCGGACCCGTCTCTCCGCCCCGGCCCCTTCCCCCCCTTGCCCCTCCGGTGGCTCCCCAGCGCCGCGGGGCGGCGGCGTCTCCCCCGGGCCTTTGCTGCCTTGCTGGGGGCAGGGGGGCTCTGTGGGGCGGGCAGGAGCCCAACCCCATGGGCGCCGGGACTCCTGGGTTCTCTGCCCGGCTCTGGGAGGGGAGTGGGGGGCTGGGAGCCAGGACTCCTGGGTTCTCTCCCCGGTGCCCCTGCAGCCTCTGGACAGTGCGGGGTAACGGACCGGGGCGAAGGGCGGCCGGGTGGATGGAACCAGCTGCTCTGGGAGGAACCACAACACCCGCTTTGTTTAGATAACAGGTGGTAGGACCCAGTGCTGGGGGCACTGCTGCGGAGAAGCTCGCAGCACGGGGAGCCCGGCTAGGGGCACTGCTGCAGGGAAGCTCGCAGCACGGGGGGGACCCTGATGGGGACACTGCTGTGGGGAAGCTTGCAGCACGGGGGGGCCCTGATGGGGACACTGCTGTGGGGAAGCTTGCAGCACAGGGGGACCCTGACGGGGACACTGTTGCGGGGAAGCTTGCAGCACGGGGGGGCCCTGACGGGGACACTGCTGCGGGGAAGCTCCTAGCAGAGGGGGCCCTGACGGGGACACTGCTGCGGGGAAGCTTGCAGCACGGGGGGGCCCTGACGGGGACACTGCTGAGGGGAAGCTCGCAGCACAGGGAGGCCTGGCAAGGGCACTGCTGCAGGGAAGCTTGCAGCACGGGGGGACCCTGACGGGGACACTGCTGCGGGGAAGCTCGCAGCACAGGGAGGCCTGGCGGGGGCACTGCTGCGGGAAAGCTCCCAGCACCGGGGGGGCCGTCGGGGGCACTGCTGCGGAGAAGCTCCCAGCACGGGGGGGGCCGTCGGGGGCACTGCTGCGGGGAAGCTCCCAGCTGCGTGTCTTGCTTTGCAGCCCCTGCTCCGCCCCACGGGCCGAGCCCCGCCCAGCCGGAGTCTCGCCATGGTCCGGCTCTCCAAGCCCAAGACCTTCCAGGCCTACCTGGACGACTGCCACCGCCGGTACAGCTGTGTGCACTGCCGGGCACATCTGGCCAACCACGATGACCTCATCTCCAAGGTCACTGCCGGGGGAAGCTCGCAGCCTGGGGGAGGGGAAGGGAAGTGGTTGCAGCGGGTTCAAGGAAAGAACACAAGGGGAAGTGGAGGGACAGGAGACGGGGGAGGTAAAATCCACAGCGCTGCCGGAGCCCCTCACTGCCGCCCCCCAGCTCTGCCGGAGCCCCTCACTGCCGCCCCCCCAGCTCTGCCGGTGCCCCTCGCTCCCGCCCCCCCAGCTCTGCCGGAGCCCCTCACTGCCGCCCCCCAGCTCTGCCGGAGCCCCTCACTCCCGCCCCCAGCTCTGCGGAGCCCCTCACTGCACCCCCAGCTCTGCGTGCCCCTCACTGCGCCCCCAGCTCTGCCGAGCCCCTCACTCCCGCCCCCAGCTCTGGAGCCCCTCACTGCGCCCCAGCTCTGCAGCCCTCACTGCCGCCCCCAGCTCTGCCGGAGCCCCTCACTGCCGCCCCCAGCTCTGCCGGTGCCCCTCGCTCCCGCCCCCCAGCTCTGCCGGAGCCCCTCACTGCCGCCCCCCAGCTCTGCCGGTGCCCCTCGCTCCCGCCCCCCAGCTCTGCCGGAGCCCCTCACTGCCGCCCCCCAGCTCTGCCAGAGCCCCTCACTCCCGCCCCCCCAGCTCTGCCGGAGCCCCTCACTCCCGCCCCCCAGCTCTGCCGGTGCCCCTCGCTCCCGCCCCCCCAGCTCTGCCGGTGCCCCTCACTGCCGCCCCCCCAGCTCTGCCCGTGCCCCTCGCTCCCGCCCCCCCAGCTCTGCCGGAGCCCCTCGCTCCCGCCCCCCCAGCTCTGCCCGTGCCCCTCACTCCCGCCCCCCCAGCTCTGCCGGTGCCTCACTCCCGACCCGCAGCCCCCAGTCAGCCCAGCCCTGCCCCCCCCAGCTCTGCCGGAGCCCCTCACTGCCGCCCCCCCAGCTCTGCCGCTGCCCCTCACTGCCGCCCCCCCAGCTCTGCCGGTGCTGAGTGTGAGCTGGTTAATAATTGATCTGTGCTCAGTGCGGGGCGGGGGGGGGGTCTTGGTCCCCAGCGGGGGCGGGGGCTCACTGAGTTTAACGACCCTCTTTTCTTTTATTCCAGTCTTTCCAAGGGAGCCAGGGAAGAGCTTATCTCTTCAACTCAGTGTGAGTACATGGGGGGAGGGGAGTGGGCACGGCAATGGGACCCAGGCGTCCGGGACGGCTCCCAGGGACCGGGAGGCAATGGGACCCAGGCGTCCGGGACGGCTCCCTGGGACTGGGAGGCAATGGGACCCAGGATCTGGGGATTTGTCCATGCAGGGCTCCCAGTCTGCTGGGGAGGGCGAGAGAGCCTGGGATAGGGGGGTGGGACCCAGGTGTCCGGGCGTTGACCTCCCACCCCCCCTCCAGGGTGAATGTGGGGTGCGGGCCGGCTGAGGAGCGGGTGCTGCTGACAGGGCTGCACGCAGTGTCCGACATCCACTGCGAGAGCTGCAAGACCACGCTGGGCTGGAAATACGTGAGTGGGGACCTGGAGCCCCCCGCCCCCAGGGACCCCCTGCTCCCCGCTGAGCTCCTCCGCGGCGCCCCCCGCCCCCAGGGACCCCCTGCTCCCCGCTGAGCTCCTCCCGCCCCCGGACCCCCGCCCCGCTAGCCCCCGCCACGCCCCCGGCCCCCAGGGCCCTCCTCCGCGGCGCCCCCGCCCCCAGGGACCCCCTGCTCCCCGCTGAGCTCCTCCGCGGCGCCCCCGCCCCCAGGGACCCCCTGCTCCCCGCTGAGCTCCTCCGCGGCGCCCCCGCCCCCAGGGACCCCCTGCTCTCCGCTGAGCTCCTCCGCGGCGCCCCCGCCCCCAGGGACCCCCTGCTCCCCGCTGAGCTCCTCCGCCGCGCCCCCGGCCCCCAGGGACCCCCTGCTCCCCGCTGAGCTCCTCCGCCGCGCCCCCGCCCCCAGGGACCCCCTGCTCCCCGCTGAGCTCCTCCGCGGCGCCCCCGCCCCCAGGGACCCCCTGCTCCCCGCTGAGCTCCTCCGCGGCGCCCCCGCCCCAGGGACCCCCTGCTCCCCGACTCCTCCACCCGCCAGGGCCCTCCTGCCCCCCAGGACCCCCTGCCCCCGCTGATCTCCGCCCCGTCCCCACCCTCCTCCCCACCCCCCCCCCAACCCCCTCTCCCGTGATCTCCCCCCCCCGCCCCCAGGACCCCCTGCTCCCCGCTACTCCTCCACCCCCCAGGACCCCCTGCCCCCGTACTCCTCCCCCCCCCCCCAGGACCCCCTGCTCCCCGCTGACTCCTCCGTGCGCCCCCGCCCCCAGGGCCCTCCCCCCCCCCCCCAGGACCCCCTGCTCCCCGCTGACTCCTCCGCCCCCCCCCCCAGGGACCCCCTCTCCCGACTGAGCTCCTCCCCCCCCCCCCCAGGACCCCCTGCTCCCCCTAGCTCCTCCGGCCCCCCCCCCAGACCCCCTGCCCGTGACCTCCGCCCCCCCCCCCAGACCCCCTCTCCCCCTAGCCCTCCGCCCCCCCCCCACCCCCTCCCCCCCCCCCCCAGACCCCTGCCCCACTACTCCTCCGCCGCGCCCCCGCCCCCAGGGACCCCCTGCCCCGCTGAGCCCTCCGCGGCGCCCCCCGCCCCCAGGGACCCCCTGCTCCCCGCTGAGCTCCTCCGCCGCGCCCCCGGCCCCCAGGGACCCCCTGCTCCCCGCTGAGCTCCTCCGCCGCGCCCCCGCCCCCAGGGACCCCCTGCTCCCCGCTGAGCTCCTCCGCGGCGCCCCCGCCCCCAGGGACCCCCTGCTCCCCCGCTGAGCTCCTCCGTCGCGCCCCCCGCCCCCAGGGACCCCCTGCTCCCCGCTGAGCTCCTCCGCCACGCCCCCCGCCCCCAGGGCCCTCCTCCGCGGCGCCCCCGCCCCCAGGGACCCCCTGCTCCCCGCTGAGCTCCTCCGCCGCGCCCCCCGCCCCCAGGGCCCTCCTCCGCCGCACCCCCCGCCCCCACGGACCCCCTGCTCCCCGCTGAGCTCCTCCGCCGCGCCCCCGGCCCCCAGGGACCCCCTGCTCCCCGCTGAGCTCCTCCGCCACGCCCCCGGCCCCCAGGGACCCCCTGCTCCCCGCTGAGCTCCTCCGCCGCGCCCCCGCCCCCAGGGACCCCCTGCTCCCCGCTGAGCTCCTCCGCCGCGCCCCCGCCCCCAGGGACCCCCTGCTCCCCGCTGAGCTCCTCCGTCGCGCCCCCCGCCCCCAGGGCCCTCCTCCGCCGCGCCCCCCGCCCCCAGGGACCCCCTGCTCCCCGCTGAGCTCCTCCGCCGCGCCCCCGGCCCCCAGGGACCCCCTGCTCCCCGACTGAGCTCCTCCGCCGCGCCCCCCGCCCCCAGGGACCCCCTGCTCCCCGCTGAGCTCCTCCGTGCCCCCCGCCCCCAGGGACCCCCTGCTCCCCGCTGAGCTCCTCCGCCGTGCCCCCCGCCCCCAGGGACCCCCTGCTCCCCGCTGAGCTCCTCCGCCGCGCCCCCGGCCCCCAGGGCCCTCCTCCGCCGCCCCCCCGCCCCCAGGGACCCCCTGCTCCCCACTGAGCTCCTCCGCCGCGCCCCCTGCCCCCAGGGACCCCCTGCTCCCCGCTGAGCTCCTCCGCCGCGCCCCCCGCCCCCAGGGACCCCCTGCTCCCCGCTGAGCTCCTCCGCCGCGCCCCCGCCCCCAGGGACCCCCTGCTCCCCGCTGAGCTCCTCCGCCGCGCCCCCCGCCCCCAGGGACCCCCTGAGCCCCTCCATCCAGAGAGTCCCTCCCCTCACTAACCCCCTGCCCTGACTGACACCCCATTATTCCCCCAACCCTCCAGGTCCCCCTCTCTGGCCTCCAGGGTCCCTCTGCCATCCCCCGACCCTCTGATCCTACCCCACCTCCTCCCAGACCTCCTGCCCCCCATACTCTGATCCTGCACCCCCAGCCCTCCCGGCGCTGGTGCATGGGTCCTGGAGGGGGGCTGGGCCTGGGGGATCCCCCCCCCATGCTGACACAGGCTCTGTCCCCCCAGGAACAAGCCTTCGAGAGCAGCCAGAAGTACAAGGAGGGGAAATACATCATCGAGCTGAGCCACATGATCAAGGACAACGGCTGGGACTGACCCTCTCCCCCAGCCCCACTGCGCTGGGGGCGGGGCCTTGCACCATCGTTCCCATGGAAACCAGCAGTAAGGCGGGGCCTTGCAGCATCAGTTCTAGGGAGACAACCTGAGGACCCGTTTCCATGGAGACCCATCCCAAACCTGGGGACCACTGCACCCCCATGAGGGGGTGGGGCTTTGCTGCCCCCTTTCCTCAGAGATGAGCTCCGCCTCCTGAGTTTGCAGGGGGACATCACTGAACATTAATTAATGAGCGTTCTTGGGGGGGTCGACTGGACACGCCTACCATTATGGGGGGGCGGGGCAATGCTGCGCTGTGATTGGCTGAGGGGGAGGGGGCGGGTACTGCCCCGGGGGGGGGGCAGGAGCGGGGAGGGGGGATCCCCATTAGATGCTGCCCTGTGCTTGTGTCGTGGGGGGGGCTGTACAGTATTGAGTGTGAATCCGTCGTGTGTAAATAAATCAGCTTCGAATGTGAGTGCGGCCGTGTCTGCTCCTCTCCCAGCAGGGGGCGCTGTGGGGAGGGGGGCTGGCTGTGGGGGGAGCTCCCGGCTACTCCAGCCCGGCCTCTCCCAGCAGGGGGCGCTGTGGGGAGGGGGGCTGGCTGTGGGGGGAGCTCCCGGCTACTCCAGCCCGGCCTCTCCCAGCAGGGGGCGCTGTGAGGGGGGGGGCTGGCTGTGGGGGAGCTCCCGGCTACTCCAGCCCGGCCTCTCCCAGCAGGGGGCGCTGTGGGGAGGGGGCTGGCTGTGGGGGAGCCGGCCAGCCCGCCCTCCCAGAGGGGCGCTGTGAGGGGGGCTGGCTGTGGGGGAGCTCCGGCTCCAGCCCGGCCCTCCCAGCAGGGGGCGCTGTGGGGAGGGGGCTGGCTGTGGGGAGCTCCCGGCACTCCAGCCGGCCTCTCCCAGCAGGGGCGCTGTGGGGAGGGGGCTGGCTGTGGGGGAGCCCCGGCTACTCCAGCCCGGCCTCTCCCAGCAGGGGGCGCTGTGGGGAGGGGGTGGCTGTGGGGGAGCTCCGGCTCTCCAGCCTGGCCTCTCCCAGCAGGGGGCGCTGTGAGGGGGGGGCTGGCTGTGGGGGGAGCTCCCGGCTACTCCAGCCCGGCCTCTCCCAGCAGGGGGCGCTGTGGGGGGGGGCTGGCTGTGGGGGGAGCTCCCGGCTACTCCAGCCTGGCCTCTCCCAGCAGGGGGCGCTGTGGGGAGGGGGGCTGGCTGTGGGGGGAGCTCCCGGCTACTCCAGCCCGGCCTCTCCCAGCAGGGGGCGCTGTGGGGAGCTATAGGGTACCAGGGCCCCAAAGGGGCCTAGGAGAATCCACCCCAGCTTCAAAGGCTCCTGGAGAAACAGCCCTTTTGGCGGGGGTGCGGGGGAATCAGTACCCTGGTGAGGTGGGAGGGGGCGGGGCTGCAAAGGATCATGGGAGAGTGGTCTGGAAGAGTTGTCCTGGGCCAGTGGATGGCAGTCTGTGGGGCAGAGGGGCACCGGGAGGGCCCTGTGACACAGCCCCATTGGAGAAGTCCACAAGGATCAGGGATCCCAAAATACTTGGGGTGCATGTTTCCCCCCGGTGGAGTGGGGCACAGAGGGAGGGGGCTGGGTTTTCCCTACGTTGGACACCAGGGGGCGCCCAAGCCCCTTCTGCAGCCCTAGGGAGCAGGCGAAACTCCCAGCCCTGCCATGGCTGCTCTAACCCACCAGACCCCCGCCCCCTCCCCTGTCCCATCCCAGAGCCGGGGAGAACCCAGGAATCCTGGCTCCCCGCCCCTCTTGCAGCTGTCTGGCACAGCTGTGAAAACAGCTGGATGACAAATGATTCTCCCGGCCCCCGTCCCCACAGCCTTGTAAACCCGGCCAGGATCAATCAAGCCACTTTGGAGCCAGGGTGTTAATTAGGCAATTAGGTTGCTTCAAGCGGGAGGAACCAGGGCTGGGCTAGCGGGGGGCTATGGGTTGGGAGTGGGGGGCACTGGTAGAGAAGGGGGGAGCCCAGGGCTGGGGACTGCGGGTCAGGAGGGAGGGGCACCGGCAGGGCTGGCGGGGGGCTTCGGGTGGGGAGCGAGGGGCACCGGCGGGGCTGGCGGGGGGCTGCGGGTTGGGAGTGAGGGGCACCTGCGGGGCGGGGGGCAGGGGGCTGCGGGGCGGGAGTGGGGGGCACCGGCAGGGCTGGGGGGCAGAGCGGGGGGGCAGGGGGGCTGCGGGTCGGGAGTGAGGGGCACCGGCAGGGCTGGCGGGGGGCTGCGGGTCGGGAGTGAGGGGCACCGGCGGGGCGGGCGGGGGGCTGCAGGTCGGGAGTGAGGGGCACCGGCGGGGCTGGCGGGGGGCTGCGGGGTCGGGAGTGAGGGGCACCGGCGGGCGGGGGGCTGCAGGTCGGGAGTGAGGGGCACCGGCGGGGCTGGCGGGGGGCTGCGGGTCGGGAGTGAGGGGCATCGGCGGGGCGGGGGGGCAGAGCGGGGGGGCAGGGGGCAGCGGGTCGGGAGTGAGGGGCACCGACGGGGCTGGCGGGGGGCTGCGGGTCGGGAGTGAGGGGCACCGGCGGGGCTGGCGGGGGGCTGCGGGTCGGGAGTGAGGGGCATCGGCGGGGCGGGGGGCAGAGCGGGGGGCAGGGGGCAGCGGGTCGGGAGTGAGGGGCACCGGCGGGGCTGGCGGGGGGCTGGGGTCGGGAGTGAGGGGACCGGGGGGTGGCGGGGGGGCGGGTCGGGAGGAGGGGCACGGCGGGGCGGGGGGCAGAGCGGGGGGCAGGGGGCAGCGGGTCGGGAGTGAGGGGCACCGGCGGGGCTGGCGGGGGGCTGCGGGTCGGGAGTGAGGGGCACCATAGCTCCCAGGTCCTGCAGTCTTGTGCATCTGCCACTTTCTCGTCTCCCTGTGAAGTCCCCTCCGTCCCGCCCTCCAGCCACTGACCCCCAGGCTGCCCCCAGAGCCCCCCCGCTGGGTCAGGCCCCCCCCCAGCCCCCTGCCTCCTCCGGCCCCTCCTGCTGTCGACGAGCCATTTGGGGTCTCACTTCAAAGTTCCTTGGGAGGCCCATAAATAGGGAGCTGCGCCCACCAGAGCGTCCCAGAGCCCGGTCAGCGCAGCGCTGCGTCCCTGGGCCAGGAGAACCCAGGAGTCCGAGCACCCCGCGCCCCCCGCTCTAACCACTAGCCCCCACTCCCCTCCCGGAGCCGGGTGGGGACCCAGGAGTCCGGGCTCCGAGTCCCGCCAAGCTCGCCCGCCCTCGGCATGTACCATCCGTCGGAGATGTTCCCCCACTTCGGGGGGTCCTTCGCGCTGCGCCCCGCTGCCCACGGGGGGCTGTCGGCTGGCTTCCCCCAGGGGCAGGCGGCCCAGTACGAAGCTTTCCGCTGCCCAGGTGAGAGGGCCGGGGCCGGGGCCGGGGGCGGCTCTGGGGAGACGTTGGGGGCGGGGAGCATAGGGAGGTGGGGGGAAGGGACACACGGACCTGGGGGGCCGCCGGGGAGACCGGCGGAGATGTGGGGGCGTGGGATCGGGGGTGAGGAGCAGGGGGGAGGCCGGCAGGGACCGGGGAAGCTGAGAAGGGGTTGCAGGCGGGGGGAGGAAGAAGGGGCAGCCCGGAGGGGATTCCTGGGGCCCCGGGTATGTGGAAAGCCCCCTGCCCAGCCCACCCCCCGGCTGACAGCTGGGCTCTTAGCACCAGATAGCGACCAACTGGCGGGGGCGATCGGCGGCCAGATGTGAGATTCCTGGAGCCTCAGAGAGTGCGACCCCCCCACGGCCCTCAACCCCGACCCCCCAGCCCTGCCGGTGCCCCCCACTCCCGACCCGCAGCCCCCTGCCCCCCCGCTCTGCCCCCCAGCCCTGCCGGTGCCCCCCACTCCCGACCCGCAGCCCCCTGCCCCCCCGCTCTGCCCCCCAGCCCTGCCGGTGCCCCCCACTCCCGTCCCGCAGCCCCTTACCCCACAGCTCTGCCCCCCAGCCCTGCCGGTGCCCCCCACTCCCGACCCGCAGCCCCCTGCCCCCCGCTCTGCCCCCAGCCCTGCCGGTGCCCCCCACTCCCGTCCCGCAGCCCCTGCCAGCCCAGCCCGCCGGTGCCCCCACTCCCGACCCGCAGCCCCCTGCCCCCGCTCTGCACCCCAGCCCTGCCGGTGCCCCCCACTCCCGTCCCGCAGCCCCCTACCCCACAGCTCTGCCCCCCAGCCCTGCCGGTGCCCCCCACTCCCGACCCGCAGCCCCCTGCCCCCCCGCTCTGCCCCCCAGCCCTGCCGGTGCCCCCCACTCCCGTCCCGCAGCCCCCTGCCAGCCCAGCCCTGCCGGTGCCCCCCACTCCCGACCCGCAGCCCCCTGCCCCCCAGCCCTGCCGGTGCCCCCCACTCCCGTCCCGCAGCCCCCTGCTCCACAGCTCTGCCCCCCAGCCCTGCCGGTGCCCCCCACTCCCGTCCCGCAGCCCCCTGCCCCCCCAGCCCTGCCGGTGCCCCCCACTCCCGTCCCGCAGCCCCCTGCCCCCCAGCTCTGCCCCCGAGCCCTGCCGGTGCCCCCCACTCCCGACCCACAGACCTTCTCTGACGGTCTCTCCCCCCCAGATCTCGACGGCGTCTCAGCCGCCAAGTTCGAGCCCTTCTGCCCCCCATTGGACCGAGCTGGGCGTCTCCTGGGCCCCTCCCCTGCGGGGCCCCCGCTGCCCCTGCCTGCCCCACCCCTGCCCTACGGGGGCGGGCAGCAGCTGCCCCCGGCCGAGCCGCCCCGGCTGCCCCCCAGCGTGCGGATGAGCCTGGAGAACCGGGAGCTGTGGAAGCGGTTCTGCGCCGTGGGCACCGAGATGATCATCACCAAGTCGGGGCGGTAAGGGGGGGCCCCGGGGAGGGACGGGTCCATGGGGGGGGCTGTGGAGTGGGGGAGTCTATGGGGGAGGGGAGGATCTGTGGGGGGTCTCCGGGGTGGGGGATACGTGGGGGGGGGAGGGAAGGGTCCCAGTGGGGTTCTGGGGTGGGGGGTCCATGGGGGAGGGAAGGGTCTGTGGGAGAGTCTGGGGTGCAGGGTTCGTGGGGGGGAGGGAAGGGTCCATGGGGGGTTTTCTGGGGGGAGGTCCATGGGGGGGCGTGGGGGCAGGAAGGGCTCGTGGGGGGCTCTCCGGGGTGGGGGACTCTCGCTGCGCCGTATCCCTCCACCCACATCTAGTTCCTCCTTCTCATGTCCTGTCCTCTGTACCGCCCGTGGCCTCTGCCCCATAGAGTCCTATCACCCCTGTATCCCTCCGCCCCCTGTGGGCTGCCTGCCGAGTCAATATTCCTCCACGTGGAGTCCATGTCCCCTCCATATCCCTCCGCCCCATGCAGCCCCCCTTGTATCCCTCTGCCCCACATTGCCCTTCACACCCCATCCCTCCTCCCCATAGAGCCCTTCACACCCCGTATCCCTGCACCCCACGGAGCCTCCCTCCTATTCCTCTGCCCCACATTGCCCTTCACACCTCATCCCTCCACCCCATGGAGCTCTTCACACCCCGTATCCCTCTACCCCACATTGCCCTTCACACCCCATCCCTCTGCCCCATAGAGCTCTTTTCACCCCATATCCCTCCTCCCCATAGAGTGGTTCACACCCCATATCCCTTCACCCCATGGAGCCCCCCTGGTATCCCTCTGCCCCACATTGCCCTTCACACCCCATCCCTCCTCCCCATAGAGCCCTTCACACCCCGTATCCCTGCACCCCATGGAGCCTCCCTCCTATTCCTCTGCCCCACATTGCCCTTCACACCTCATCCCTCCACCCCATAGAGCCCTTCACACCCCGTATCCCTGAACCCCATGGAGCCTCCCTCCTATTCCTCTGCCCCACATTGCCCTTCACACCTCATCCCTCCACCCCATAGAGCCCTTCACACCCCGTATCCCTCTACCCCACATTGCCCTTCACACCCCATCCCTCCTCCCCATAGAGCCCTTCACACCCCGTATCCCTGCACCCCACGGAGCCTCCCTCCTATTCCTCTGCCCCACATTGCCCTTCACACCTCATCCCTCCACCCCATGGAGCTCTTCACACCCCGTATCCCTGCACCCCAGGGAGCCTCCCTCCTATTCCTCTGCCCCACATTGCCCTTCACACCCCATCCCTCTGCCCCATAGAGCCCTTTTCACCCCATATCCCTCCTCCCCATAGAGTGGTTCACACCCCATATCCCTCCGCCCCATGGAGCCCCCCTGGTACCCCTCTGCCCCACAGTGCCCTTCACACGCCGTACCCCCCGGCCCCGTGAGCCCCTCACGCCCCCGTGTGCCCCGCAGGCGGATGTTCCCCCAGCTGAAGGTCTCGGTGGCAGGGCTGGACCCCGAGGCGAAGTACCTGCTCCTGGTGGACATGGTGCCGGCTGGGGCCTCACGTTACAAGTGGCAGGGACGGCACTGGGAGGCCAGTGGCAAGGCCGAGCTGCCCCCCCCGGACCGGGTCTACATCCATCCTGACTCCCCGGCCTCGGGCGCCCACTGGATGCGCCAGCCCGTGTCCTTCCATCGCCTCAAGCTGACCAACAACACGCTGGACCCCCACGGCCACGTGAGTGGGCAGGGGCGGGCCAAAGAGAGGGTGGGAGGGGCTTAGGACAGTGGGGGCGGAGCCTAGGGAGAAGAGGCGAAGGGCTTAGGGTGGCGAGGGATGGGAGCAGGGGGCTGTGCTGGGAGGGGGGCGGGGTGGGGGGTGCCCATGTCTAACCCCTCTCTCCTCCCCAGCTGATCCTGCACTCCATGCACCGTTACCAGCCCCGCGTGCACGTGGTGGGAGCGGGGGGCCCGGGGGGCGTGGGGGGGGGCTGCGCCTCCTTCACCTTCCCTGAGACGGCCTTCCTCACTGTCACCGCCTACCAGAGCCCCAAGGTGAGCCCCCCCTCCTGCCCCCTCGCTTCCCACCGCCCCACTGCCCCCCACAGGGCTCTCAGCCCCCTCTTCCCTCGTCCCCCCTCCAGATCACCCAGATGAAGATTGAGAGTAACCCCTTCGCCAAAGGCTTCCGGGAGAACGGCATGAACAGCAAGAGGTGCCGGGGGGCACAAGGAAGGGGGGTGAGGTGGAGGGGGCTGCGGGGTACTAGGATGGGAGAGGTGAGCAGGGGGGCACCAACTGGGGGAGCCTTGGGGGATGTGAAGGGGAGGGTGGGCACTGGAGGGAGGCCGGATCAGGTGGGGCGGTGGAGCCATCAGCCCAGTAACCTCCCATCTCTCTCCTGCCCCCCAGGGAGCGAGATGCCCGGATCAAGAGGAAGATGAGGGGCGATGTGGCCGAACCTACCAGGAATGAGGCTGGTATGGGACCCCCAACCCTCCCACTGCACCCACACTCATTGCCCCCTCTCCCCCTCCATCCTGCCTCTTGCACCACCCCTTTCCTCATCCCAGCGGCCCCCCCCATTGCCCCCTCCCCACTCTTCCAGCCCCCACCAACATTAACCATTCCCATCTTTCCTCCCCCCAGATTGCAAGCGAGGTCCCTGTGACTCCACACAGGGCCCTCCCCCAGAGCCACCGGCCCCCCCCTGACTGCTCCTTCCACCCCATCTCCTCCTCCTACCCTCCTGGCGGGAATGAGGAGCTGGGGTGCCCCCTAGGGGGGGTGAACCCCAGTGCCGAGGCGTACGTCCAGCATCCAGCCGCCTTCCACGGCCTGCAGCCTCCCCAGGGGCCCGCTGGCTATGCCAGGTGAGAGCACGGACCATGGTGGGCATCAGAGGTTATGGGAGCAGGGAGGGCCTCTGACCTACACCCATGAGGTGGGGGATCCAGGGGTCAGAGGTCATGGGCAGGTCATGAATTGTTTGTCAAAAAAGTGCAGTTTCTGGAAAAATCTAAAAAAGCTGGAAATTTCCAGTTGTTGCCCAAAAATGTTGACTCTCCCTCAGGGACAATTGGAAAGGGTTCAGGTTCGGTTCACTATCCCGTCATGAATCAGCCTATTGTGACATCACTCTGCATTTCCCTCGTGTGCTGCCATGCCTTCTGGGAGCTGTAGTTCCGACCACCTATGGGCTGAGCTCCCTGGAGGACTACAACTCCCATAATGCAATGCCAAGCTGTGTGGTGCATCATGGCAGATGAAGTGCAATGAGGAAGCCTGGCCCATAGAAGACAAAGGGGCCATCCTGAATCTGAACTACACCCCCCCATAGTGCACCGAGTCCCATGCCTCCCAAGAAGCACCAAGCCGAGCTCATGGGCACTTGCACCATTTCATAGTGGGAGATGTAGTTCTCCCTTTGGGCCTGGGGCAGCCAGCCAATGGGAGCAGAGGGGTGGACCCATTCAAGTCACCAGGGCCTGATGAAACGCATCCTAGAATGCTCAAGGAGCTGACTGAGGAGGTGTCTGAGCCATTAGCAATTGTCTTGGAAAAGTCATGGAAGATGGGAGAGATTCCAGAGGACTGGAAAAGGGCAAATCTAGTGCCCATCTATAAAAAGGAGAATGAGGACAACCTGGGGAATTACAAACCAGTCAGCTTAACTTCTGTACCCGGAAAGATAATGGAGCAAATAATTAAGCAATCAATTTGCAAACACCTAGAAGATAATAAGGTGATAAGCAACATTCAGCATGGATTTGTCAAGACCAACCGGACAGCTTTCTTTGACAGGGTAACAAGCTTTGTGGATGGGGGGGTGTTAAGGAAAAGTTAGCACATGTGACTCCATTTTGGTTTGGGGCCCACCATTGTCTAAAATGTTCTACAGGTGTAATTCGTAGCATTTGTGTGCATGTCCTCTCAGGTATGATTCGTAACAGGGGAAGCAGTAGATGTGGCATATCTTGAGTTGAGTGAGGCTTTTGATACTGTTGGGCATGACCTTCTCATAAACAAACTAGGGAAATGCAACCTAGATGGAGCTACTATAAGGTGGGTGAAAAACCGGTTGGAAAATCGTTCCCAGAGAGTACTTATCAGTAGTTCACAATCATGCTGGAAGGGCATAACGAGTGGGGTCCCACAGGGATCGGTTCTGGGTCCGGTTCTGTTCAATATCTTCACCAGTGATGTAGATAATGGCATAGAGAGGACACTGATAAAGTTTGCAGATGATACCCATCTGGGAGGGGTTGCAAGTGCTCTGGAAGATGGGATTAAAATTCAAAATGATCTGACTGGAGAAATGGCCTGAAGTAAATAGGATGAAATTCAATAAGGACCAATGCAAAGTCCTCCACTTAGGAAGGAACAATCCGTTGCACACATACAAAATGGGCAATGACGGCCTAGGCAGGAGCACTGCGGAAAGGGATCTGGGGGTCACAGTGGATCACAAGCTAAATATGAGTCAACAGTGTAACGCTGTTGCAAAAAAAGCAAACTTCATTCTGGGCTGTGTCAGCAGGAGTGTTGTACGCAAGACACGAGAAGTGATTCTTCCGCTCTGCTCCGCACTGATTAGGCCTCAACTGGAGTCTTGTGTCCAGTTCTGGGCACCACATTTCAGGAAGGATGTGAACAAATGGGAGAAAGTCTGGAGAAGAGCAACAAAAACGATTCAAGGTCTAGAAACCATGAGCTGGGAGGGAAGATTGAAAACACGGGGTTTGTTTAGTCTGGAGAAGGGGAGACGGAGAGGGGCCATGAGAACAGGTTTCGGGTACGTAAAAGGTTGCTCCAAGGAGGAGGGAGAAGAATTGTTCTGAACCTCTGAGCACAGGACAAGACGCCATGGGCTGCAATAGCAGCCAGGGGAATCTTCCCGGCTGGCCGGGTGGTGAGGGATCCATTGCCCAGGGGGGTTGTGGAGTCTCCATCACTGGGGATCTTTAAGAGCCAGCTGGACACACCCCGGTCAGGGAGGGGCTAGAGAAGTAGCCCTGCCAGGAGTGCCGGGGGCTGGCCTGGGTACCCCTCGAGGCCAGGGATTCCCTCCCCTCCCCAGCCCTATTGGTCTGTTCCATTGTCCTACTGCCCCCCCGCCTCTGCTGGGCTGGTCCATCGATGTTCCCTTCCCCTCCCCTGCTGGGCTGTTCCCTTCCCCTCCCCCGTATGGTACCTGACAGGCTGTTCCCTTCCCCTCCCCGTATGGTACCTGACAGGCTGTTCCCTTCCCCTCCCCCGTATGGTACCTGACAGGTTCCCCCCCCCGGTCCCTTCCCTCCCCCCGACAGGCTGTTCCCTTCCCCTCCCCCGTATGGTACCTGACAGGCTGTCCTCCCCTCCTCCCCTCCCCGTATGGTACCTGACAGGCTGTTCCCTTCCCCTCCCCGTATGGTACCTGACAGGCTGTTCCCTTCCCCTCCCCCCGTATGGTACCTGACAGGGTTCCCTCCCCCTCCCCGTATGGTACCTGACAGCTGTTCCCTTCCCCTCCCCGTATGGTACCTGACAGGCTGTTCCCTTCCCCTCCCCCGTATGGTACCTGACAGGCTGTTCCCTTCCCCTCCCCGTATGGTACCTGACAGTGTTCCCTTCCCCTGGATGGTACCTGACAGGCTGTTCCCTTCCCCTCCCCCGTATGGTACCTGACAGGCTGTTCCCTTCCCCTCCCCCGTATGGTACCTGACAGGCTGTTCCCTTCCCCTCCCCGTATGGTACCTGACAGGCTGTTCCCTTCCCCTCCCCCGTATGGTACCTGACAGGCTGTTCCCTTCCCCTCCCCGTATGGTACCTGACAGGCTGTTCCCTTCCCCTCCCCCGTATGGTACCTGACAGGCTGTTCCCTTCCCCTCCCCCGTATGGTACCTGACAGGCTGTTCCCTTCCCCTCCCCGTATGGTACCTGACAGGCTGTTCCCTTCCCCTCCCCCGTATGGTACCTGACAGGCTGTTCCCTTCCCCTCCCCCGTATGGTACCTGACAGGCTGTTCCTTTCCCCTCCCCGTATGGTACCTGACAGGCTGTTCCCTTCCCCTCCCCGTATGGTACCTGACAGGCTGTTCCCTTCCCCTCCCCCGTATGGTACCTGACAGGCTGTTCCCTTCCCCCCCCCGTATGGTACCTGACAGGCGTTCCCCCTCCCCGTATGGTACCTGACAGGCTGTTCCCTTCCCCTCCCCGTATGGTACCTGACAGGCTGTTCCCTTCCCCTCCCCGTATGGTACCTGACAGGCTGTTCCCTTCCCCTCCCCCGTATGGTACCTGACAGGCTGTTCCCTTCCCCTCCCCCGTATGGTACCTGACAGGCTGTTCCCTTCCCCTCCCCCGTATGGTACCTGACAGGCTGTTCCCTTCCCCTCCCCGTATGGTACCTGACAGGCTGTTCCCTTCCCCTCCCCGTATGGTACCTGACAGGCTGTTCCCTTCCCCTCCCCGTATGGTACCTGACAGGCTGTTCCCTTCCCCTCCCCGTATGGTACCTGACAGGCTGTTCCCTTCCCCTCCCCGTATGGTACCTGACAGGCTGTTCCCTTCCCCTCCCCGTATGGTACCTGACAGGCTGTTCCCTTCCCCTCCCCCGTATGGTACCTGACAGGCTGTTCCCTTCCCCTCCCCGTATGGTACCTGACAGGCTGTTCCCTTCCCCTCCCCCGTATGGTACCTGACAGGCTGTTCCCTTCCCCTCCCCTGCTTGGGCTGTTTCATTCCCCCCTCCCCCTATGGTACCTGACAGGCTTTTCCATAATCCTCCCCCTGCTGGGCTGTTCCATTAACCTCCCTCCTCTCTCTCCCCAGCTCGCCCTGTGCTGCCCCTGAAGCAGCTGCTGCCCCGAAGCCCGTGGGGGACCCCGGCTGCCCCCCTGCCAAGCCACTCCCTGACCAATCAAACTGCAGAACCACCAGCGCCCCGCCCCTCACCTACCCCCCCTACGGGCTGGATGTCGGCTGCCTGCTGGGGGCAGGGCTGGACGGCCCCCCCGCACCTGAACTCCGCTTCCCCCCCTTCCTGCCCTGCCCGGCCCCCCGCCTCTATGCCCCGCCCGGCCCCCCTGCCGGCTACCTCGAGGGGGGCAACAAGGGCCTCTTCTGAGGGCTGGGCTTCCCCCCAGCTGTCACCCCACTCTCCGTGGGGCCGCCCCCTCACCCAGGGGAGCACCCCCCCCAATTGCGACTGACTTATTTATTCCAAGGGGGGAGCCAGACCCTTCCCTGCAGCTACTGGATGGGGGCAGAGAGATGGGGTGAAATGTGCACCCCCCAACCTGCCCCACAGCCCTCGCCCTCTCATTATCTGCCTCCCCCCTACCCCTATTCCTCCCCCAGTTATCTGCCCCCTGCACAGCAACCCTGCTATCACTGCCTCCCTGTTATCTGCTCCTCCCCAGCCATGGTCCCCTACATCCTCTGTCCCCTCCCCCCAATGGCTGATTTGGAGAGGGCATGTGCAAACATGGGGGCATCTCCTCCCCTTTTAAAAAAACAATACAAAGCAAGTCACTCAATCAATAAAGCTGGGAAGGCAGCAAAGCGGCATCCGTGTGTCCATCGGGCATGGGGGGATCTGTGTGTCGGGGGGGGTCCTGCATGTGTGTCTGTCCTGGGGAAACTGTCCAAGGAAGACAGATGTTCCTGGCTGGGGAGAACATGCTGCAAGGGGGCCCAGGCTCACAGGCCCGGAGCCAGGACACGAGGCGTGGCTCTAAGATAGGCTTGGCTGGGCAGGCGCCAGGCCAGCACTACGTCATGGGCTCTCAGAGACTCGCTGACTTCGGGACCTCGGAAGCTGGCTGAAGGAGGAGAATGGCCGAGCCATTGGCTCTGTGCTCCTTGCTGACAGCTCGGAAGAAAATGAACTCGGAAGCTCACGGCTCAATGTCCTAGCAGATACAGCACAAGCCGGGGTATTTGTGGGTGTCGGCTACAGGCCATCACACCACAGTGAGGAACAGGCTGAGCAGCTCCTTATACACCTCCCTATAACGTGTAGGAGAAAAGCCGGGTGCTCATGGGGGGAGGGATAGCTCAGTGGTTTGAGCATTGGCCTGCTCTGTGAGTTCAATCCTTGAGGGGGCCATTTGGGATCTGGGGCAAAAATTGGGGATTGGTCCTGCTTTGAGCAGGGGGTTGGACTAGATGACCTCCTGAGGTCCCTTCCAACCCTGATATTCTATGATTCTATGACTGCCGTCTGCACAACACCCGCTGGCAGCCTGGGAATTCATAGCTCACAATTTCCTAGCTCAAAAAGACGCAGCCAACCTGGGGGAATTCACCGTCAGACCTTGTCCTAACTGCTAAAGAGAAACTGACACAGAATTAAAATGGAAAGGTAGCTTAGGTACAAGTGATCATGTCTTGAGCAAATTTATGATGTGTGAGCAGAACAAAGTCCAGAATGGTTCTAGATATTCTTGGCGCTTTAATACGGCCAATTTCACAAAGCTGATGACAATTATAAGCCCAGTGAGTGAGGAGGAAGAATTTAATCAGAAAAGGGTGAATGATAAGTTGGAATTATTTAAAAACACCTCACTAGAGACCCAAAAAGCCACAGTTGAGGTAAAAGACTCTGGTGGTTAAAAAAATCCTCCTGGCCGATTAGAGGGGAAGTAAAAGCAGCTATAAAAATAATATATACCAAATTGAAGAAGGGGGAAGCTGATAGTAACGAATGTAAATCAGAAGGAAGGAATTGCATAAAATTGATAAGGGAAGCCAAGGGGCACAAGGAGAAATCTATGACCGGAAGACTTAAGGACAATAAGGAGCTTTTAAATATGTTGGGAACAGAAAGGATACTGACAATGGCATTGGTCCATAACTAGCTGGAAGTGGCAGAGTTATCAGTAACAATGTAGAAAAGGCTGAAGTGTTCATTAAATATTTCTCTTCTGTATGTGGGGGAAAAACAAATGATGCTGTCTCATCACGTGGTGATAACACTCGTTCTGTTCCATTAGTAGCTGTGGAGGATGTTAAGCTCCTAAAATTAGATATTTTTAAATCAACAACTCCAGATAATTTGCATTCAGGAGTTTTAAAAGAGCTGGCTGAGATCACTGGACCATTAATGCTGATTTTCAGTAAGTCTTTGAGCACTGGGGAAGTTCCAGAAGTCTGGAACACAGTTAACATTGTGCAAATTTTGAAAAAGGGTAAATGGGATGATTGGGTAATTATAGGCCTCCATGTCACCTTGACATTGATCCCGGGCAAGATAATGGAGCAGCTGATCTAGGACTCGATGAATAAAGTATTAAAGGAGAGTAATAGACTAAATGCAAGTCAACATGGGCTCGTGGCAAATAGATCCTGTTAAACTAATTTGATAAATTTTTCTGATGAGATGACAAGTTTGATTGACAAAGGTAATAGCGTTGACATAACATACTTAGACTCTGACTTGGTAGTGCACAGTGTTTTCACTAAAACCCTAGAACAATATAAAATGAACATGGCCCACATTAAATGGATTAAAAAGTGGCTAACTTGTCTCAAAATGCAACTGCATATGGGGGATTGTTTCTAGTGGGGGTGGCAGGGACCGGTTCTTGGCCCTGTGCTATTTAACACTTTTCTCAGTGACTGGAAGAGAACAAAATCACTATTGATGAAGTTTGTAGCTGACCCAAACATTGGGGGTGGGAGGTGGGAAGTTTTGCAGAGCAGAGGTCACTGGTCCAGAGCCAGCTGGATGGCTGGGTAAACGGGCACAAGCAGACACTGGTTTAACCCAGCTCAGTGTAAATGCCGGTCCCTGGGCAGGATGAGTGCCGGCTGCACTTACAGGCTGGGGGGCTCTGTCCTGGGACGCAGGGACTCTCAGCAAGGAGGGGCGGGGGTTAATCAGCAGAAGAGCGCCCAGTGCAATGCTGGGGCCAAAAGGGCCAATGCCATCCTGGGCTGTGCAAACAGGGGGATTTTCCCTCTGGATTCAGTCCTGGGGCGGCCACGGCTGGGATCCCGGGGCCGGCTCTGGTGCCTGCAGTTCCAGGAGGATGTTGATCCATTGGAGGGGTCAGAGAAGAGCCCCGGGAAGGATGAAAGGATCAGAAACCTGCCCTCGAGGGAGAGGCTCCAGCTGTTCAGCTTAACGCAGAGCTGGCTCCAGGGTGACTGGAGCCCGGCCTGGCAGCACCTCCGTGGGGAACAGATCGTTACCTCGTGGCTCGTCAGTCCCGCCGAGAAAGGTCTGACGCGCCCCAGCGGCGGGACAATCCCGGCCTGGAAAGAGGCTGTAAATATGGCCCAGGCAGAACCGCTCCCTCCGGGCCGACAGGAATCCCCAGTACTGGCGATGGCTCAACCCAGCCGGGGGTTCTCGGGTCTGCTCCAGCCTATACAAGGGCTCACACCAGACGATCCGCAGCCCTGGAGTCTATGAAACACAGGGGGCCTCAAGGATGGACTAAATGAATTCTGTGCTTCAGTTTTCATAGCTGAGGATGTTATGGAGATTCCCAAACCTGAGCCGTCTTTTGTAGGTGACAAATCTGAGGAATTGTCACAGATTGAAGTGTCACTAGAGGTGGTTTTGGAATTAATTGAGAAACTGAACAGTGACAAGTCACTGGGACCAGATGGCATTCACCCAAGAACTCTGAAAGAACTCAAATGTGAAATTGCGGAACTATTAACTATAGTTTGTAACCTGTCCTTTAAATCAGCTACTGTACCCAATGACTGGAAGATAGCTAATGTAACGCCATAGAGGTGATCCTGGCAATTACAGACTGGTAAGTCTAACATCAGTACTGGGCAAAGGAGTTGAAACAATAGTAAAGAATAAAATTAACGAAAGTCAACATGGTTTCTGTAAAGGGAAATCATGTCTTACTGATCTATTTTAGTTCTTTGAGGGGGTCAGACAAACATGTGAACAAGGGGGATCCAGTGGACACAGTGTACTTAATTTCCAGAAAGCTTTTGACAAGGTCCCTCACCAAAGGTTCTTATGTAAATTAAGTTGTCATAGGATAAGAGGGAAGATCCTTTCATGGACTGAGAACTGGTTAAAAGATAGGGAACAAAGCGTAGGAATAAATGGTAAATTTTCAGAATGGAGAGGGGTAACTAGAGGTGGTCCCCAAGGGTCAGTCCTTGTTCAACTTATTCATAAATGATCTGGAGAAAGGTGTAAACAGTGAGGTGGCAAAGTTTGCAGATGACACTAAACTACTTAAGATAGTTAAGACCAAAGCAGACTGTGAAGAACTTCAAAAAGATCTCACAAAACTAAGTGATTGGGCAACAAAATGGCAAATGAAATTTAACGTGGATAAATGTAAAATAATACACATTGGAAAAAGAACCCCAATTATACAGACAATATGATGGGGGATAATTTAGCTACAACTAATCAGGAGAAAGACCTTGGCGTCATCGTGGAGAGTTCTCTGAAGACATCCATGCAGTGTGCAGCGGCAGTCAAAAAAGCAAATGGGATGTTAGGAATCATTAAAAAAGGGATCGAGAATAAGACGGAGAATATCTTATTGTCCTTATATAAATCCATGGTACGCCCACATCTTGAATATTGCATACAGATGGGGTCCCCTCATCTCAAAAAAGATATACTGGCATTAGAAAAGGTTCAGAAAAGGGCAACTAAAATGATGAGGGGTTTGGAACGGGTCCTATATGAGGAGAGATTAAAGAGGCTAGGACTTTTCAGCTTGGAAAAGAGGACACTAAGGGGGGATAGGATAGAGATCTATAAAATCATGAGTGGTGTGGAGAAAGTGAATAAGGAAAAGTTATTTACTTGTTCCCATAATATAAGAACTAGGGGCCACCCAATGAAATTAACGGGCAGCAGGTTTAAAACAAATAAAAGGAAGTTCTTCTTCACCCAGCGCATAGTCAACCTGTGGAACTCATTGCCTGAAGAGGTTGTGAAGGCTAGGACTATAACAGGGTTTAAAAGAGAACTGGATAAATTCATGGAGGGTAAGTCCATTAATGGCTATTAGCCAGGATAGGTAAAGAATGGTGTCCCTAGCCTCTGTTTGTCAGAGGGTGGAGATGGATGGCAGGAGAGAGATCACTAGATCATTACCTGTTAGGTTCACTCTCTCTGGGGCACCTGGCATTGGCCACGGTCAGCAGAAAGGATATTGGGCTGGAAGGACCTTTGGTCTCACCCAGTCTGGCCATGGTTATGTTCTTATGTTGCCAGTGCAACGCCTGATCCCACACTGCCAGGGACTGTGTACGCCCCACTGCCCTCTGCCAGGGCTCCCCTTTCTCTCCCCCCCCTTCTTTTCTGTCTGGGGGACCAGCCATACCAGGTCCCAGCCTGGCAGCCTCCATGGACCCTGCATGTCTGGACCCAGATGTGCAGGCCTGCCAGCTCGGTGAGCTACCGCCAGCGGCAGAGCTGGCTGAGGCAGCTGGCTCTGTGCCCAGGGCCGGGGGGGTCTCCCATTTCCCCCTCACTGCCGCAGGCCCGGCCCCTCCCCAGACACGCTGGAGCTGCTGAGCGGCGGGGTTCAAATCCCGTCATGTTACATTGTAACGCCACCGAGCCCAAGTAGGCTAAAGTAAGGCTAATGGGGGAGAAGCCAGGACTCCTGAGCTCGATCCCTGGCTCTGTGCTTCAGTGCCCCCACCCCCGCCCAGACAAGGGAAGTGACTCGGCCGGGTCTCCAGGAGGCACTCCTCAAAGAGACGAGCCAGCACTGGAAGGAATCCCTCCCAGATTACACACAGCCCTAACAACTGAATTACACACATTTCCCCTGGGGGGCGCCGGCTCCCATCTGGCCCCAGGGCTGGGACTGGGGCCTGGCGCCCACCCCTCCAGCGAGTGCCAGCTTGGATCCAGGCCCAGGGCAGGGCACTGGCTGGGGGTTGGGGAATGGGACAGGGGCCTTTCCCGTCTCGGGGGCACTGGCTCCAGGGCAAGGAACTGGCCAGCTTGGGGGGAGGGGCGGGCAGGAATGGGACATGTGGGAGGGGACTAAACACTCACCACGTTTACATCCTTTGTACAAATGTCTTTATTTTTTTTTCTGTTTTTTTCCCCATTTTTATTAGAATTTTTTTATCTAAAATGAACAAAAAGGCAAAAATTGGAAACAATAATTAAACTGAAGAAATAAAAATGCCAAGAGGAGACAGATCAGAAGGGAGGGCCCCTCCCCAGAGAGAAATGGGGGTGTAGGAATAGCCCCCCCTCCCCAAAGAGACTGGGTGGGTGGGGAAACTGGTCCCTCAGGAGAGATGAAGTTGTGGGGTGACCCACAGGGTAGTGGGATGTCCGGCTGGGTTGGGGTCTCCCCCCGATATGTGGGATCCAGTTTGGGAAGGCAGATGCTGTGCTGCAGCCAGGCCGGGGCTGCAGGCTGCTGCGGGAGAGGGGCCCTGATATTAAATAAGAGACCGGGGACTGAAACCTGGAGAAATCAGCTGTCGATTTGGGGGTCCTGCAGAGGGGAAGGGGTAACACAGACCGGGAGGGAGACGGGGGCAGGGAGGTAACAGTCAGTTCATCCCAGAGCAGGGCTGGATTCTGGACGGCCCCACGTTCAAGACACCCCAGGGAACGAGCAGGGCCAGGATCAGCCCCCCAAGTGCCCCCAAACTCCCCAGCATGGGAAGCCAGGGGCTGCCTCAGCCCAGGTAGGGGGAGGTCACAGGAAGTAGTCAGCGACGGGCTTCTTGGAGGGGATCCCCCGCGTTTCCTGGGGGGCAGCTTCAAAGATGATGAATTCCTTCTGCAGGTGCTCGTCCAGCTCCAGGATGGCGGCCACGTTCCCGCACCTGGGAGGGTGCGGGGGGGTTTTTACACACAGCTCTGCCGGTGCCCCTCACTCCCACCCCGCAGCCCCCTGCTAGCCCAGCCCTGGGCCCTTCCCCAGCTCTGCCGGTGCCCCTCACTCCCGACCTGCAGCCCCCTGCTAGCCCAGCCCTGCCCCCGCAGCTCTGCCGGTGCCCCTCCCTCCCGCCCCGCAGCCCCTGCACTCACCGGTAGCAGTAGTTAGGGGCTGACCAGACGGTGAGCACGGTCTCATTGAAGTGCCACTTGTAACCCTCCATCACCAGCTGGTGGGCACGGCAGATCATGTCGATGTCATTGGAGGCGTTGAACTGGGCCACCACGTCGCTGCCGAAGAGGTACCCGGCGCCCCGCGGGCTCACGCCCCAGCCTGTCGTGTCTGCGGGGGGAAAGTGGGGTGAAAGGCCAGCCCTGCCCCTCTCGGTGACCTGCCTCCATCAGCTCCCCCATCCCCATATCAACCCCGCCACACCGCACCCGCCTCCCCGGACCCTTGCTGTGGCCCCCGCAGTCGCAACCCCTATAACCCACCCACTCTCCCACCATGCAGACCCATCCCCCACCGCCTCCCTACCGCAGCTGACCCCTCCTGCCCTGCTCCTGGCTGCCCCCATACCTTCGGGGTCAGACCAGAGCAGGTCACACATGGGCCCGTCGTGCGGCACCTCCTGCTTGCGGTCGATCGTACGGATCTGATCCAGCGTCTGGATGGACGGGGAGAGGCCCCCGTGGACGCAGAAGATCTGCAGGGGATGGGAGAAGAGGTTAGGAACCCAGGAGTCCGGGCCCTCAGCTCCCGCCTCCCGGCCTGGCGCACCTTGCCGTCAATGATGGCCGACAGGCTGAGGTAGTCAAAGATCTCGGTGCAGTAACGCCACACGGTGACCGAGCCGTATTTGCGCAGACATTCGTCGTAGAAGCCGTACACCTGGGTGATCTGCCGGCTCTCGTGGTTGCCCCGGATCAGGGTGATGCGGTCGGGGTAGCGCACCTGGGGAGGGGAGGGGTTAGCAGTGGCCCAGAGAGCTGGCCAGCGGGGGCTGGGCAGCGGCAGAGGGGGCCACGGGGCGGTGGGGGGGCTCACCTTGAGTGCCAGCAGCAGCAGGAAGGTCTCCACACTGTAGAAGCCTCGATCCACAAAGTCGCCCATAAAGAGGTAATTGGTCTCCGGGACGTCACCCCCGACCTGCGGGGAGAGGGCAGGGAGGGGCTGATGGGACGGCAGGGGGCAGCGCAGAGGGGGCTGATGGGACAGTGGGGGGCTCTACTCACCCTGAACAGCTCCTTGAGGTCATAGAACTGACCGTGGATGTCCCCACACACCTGGGGGGAGCAGAGACGTTAGGGGATGGGCTGCGACCCCGGGATCCCCTCCCTGCTGCCACCCAACCCCCGCCCCGCCCGGCCCCCACTCACTGTCACAGGAGAATCCACCCGCTGCACGTTGCTTTCCTCCACCAGGATCTCCCTGCCCCGCAGAAAGGAACAGATCAGGAAACGGGCCCCCCGGGGGCCGGCCCCCCGCCCCCGGTGCCCGGCCCCCCGAGAGGCCCCCCCCCGGTGCCCGGCCCCCGGCCCCCCCGGTGCCCGGCCCCCCCGGTGCCGGCCCCCCCCCGGTGCCCGGCCCCCCCCCGGGCCGCCCCCGGGCCCCCCCCCCAACCCCCCCCCCCCCAAGCCCCCCCCCCACCCCCCCCCCGCCCCGCCCAACCCCCCGGTGCCCGGCCCCCGAGAGGCCCCCCGGTGCCCGCCCCCCCGGTGCCCGGCCCCCAGAGGCCCCCCCGGTGCCCGGCCCCCGAGAGGCCCCCCCCGGTGCCCGGCCCCCGAGAGGCCCCCCCCCCGGTGCCCGGCCCCCCGAGAGGCCCCCCCCCGGTGCCCGGCCCCGCCCCCGGTGCCCCGGCGCTCACCGGGCCTTGGCGCACAGCGCCTTCACCTCGCTCTCCTTGATGAGCTCGCAGCGCCGGAGCTGCTCGATCTGCCGGTCCAGGTCGCTGATCTCGGCCATGGCTCCTGCACAGAGCGGGGGTCAGCGGGGGGGCCACCCCGGACTCCCCCAACCCGCCCCCCCTCCGGGCCGGACTCCCCCCACCGCCGCCTCCCAACCCCCCCTCGCCGCCTCCCCGCCCCCCGCCACCTCCCAACCCCCCGCCGGGCCGGGCCGGACTCCCCCCCCGCCGCCTCCCAACCCCCCGCCGGGCCGGACTCCCCCCCGCCACCTCCCAACCCCCCCGCCGGGCCGGGCCGGGCCGGGGGACTCCCCGCCGCCGCCGCCGCCGCCGCCGCCTCCCAAACCCCCTCCGGGCCGGACTACCCCCCCGCCACCTCCCAACCCCCCCGCCGGGCCGGACTACCCCCCCGCCACCTCCCAACCCCCCGCCGGGCGGGCCGGGCCGGGCCGGGCCGGACTCCCCCCGCCGCCGCCGCCGCCGCCTCCAACCAACCCTCCGGGCCGGACTCCCCCCACCACCTCCCAACCCCCCGCCGGGCCGGACTCCTCCTCCTCCTCCTCCCCCCGGCCGCGCCGGGCGCCCCCCCCTCACCTGGGGCTCCGTCCCCGGCTCCGAGCGCGGCTGGCCCCGCCCCCTCCCGGCGACAACGTCACTTCCCCGCCGGAAAACGAAAGCCAGAGACAGGATAGGAAGTGACGTCACAATCACGGGAGACGAGGAGGCACCGGAAGCTGCCCTTGGTGACGCAGACGGAAATGACGCGCGAAGAGACCAATAAACCGGCTCGAGAAGAGGCGGGAAATGACATCACCGAGGGGGCCAGCGCCGGTAAGGGAGCCGGAAATGACGTATGAGCGCCCGCCCCTCCGCTGAGTCTCCCTGGCAACGCCCCGTCCCGCCCCTATCCCCAGGATACTGACCCCGCCCCCCCCCCCCCCCCCCCCGGCTGGGGAGCTCGTGCGTGCCTCAGTTTCCTCATCGCACAAAACCGAACCCCGGCCCCGCCCCCGGCCCGGCGCTGGGGGCCTCGGGGCTGGAGTAGGAGGTGGGGGGCGGCCCGGCCCCAGCCGGGGGGGGGCGGCGCAGGGCTCGGGGAGGGGGGCGCTGGCTCTGTGTGTTGCCAGGGGGCCGGCACAGGCCCGGCCCCAGCTCGGCGGGCGTTGGGGGGGGCAGCCCCCGTTCAGGGTCGGCAGTGGGGGGGCCTGGCCCCAGCGTGGGGGGGTAAGCCCGAGGCCCGGACCCACCGTGGGAGGGGGTGAGGGTTGGCAGTGGGGGGGCCTGGCCCCAGCATGGGGGGTGTGTGTGAGGGGGTGGGGGACCTGGCCCCAGCATGGGGGTGGGGGTCAGCCTGGGGCCTGGCCCCAGCGTGGGGGGGGTCAGCAGTGGGGGGGGCCTGGCCCCAGCGTGGGGGGGTAAGCCCGAGGCCCAGACCCACCGTAGGAGGGGGTGAGGGTTGGCAGTGGGGGGACCTGGCCCCAGCATGGGGGTGGGGGTCAGCCTGGGGCCTGGCCCCAGCGTCGGGGGGGGGTCAGCAGTGGGGGACCAGGCCCCAGCGTGGGGGGTGTGTATGAGGAGGTGGGGGTCAGCAGTGAGGGGCCTGGCCCCAGCGTGGGAAGGGGGGGTCAGCCCGAGGCCCGGACCCACCGTGGGAGAGGGTGAGGGTCGGCAGTGGGGGGCCTGGCCCTAGCATGGGGTGTGTGTGTGAGGGGGTGGGGGTCAGCAGTGGGGGACCTGGCCCCAGCGTGGGGGGGGGGGGGGGGGTTAAGGTTAAGCCTCTGTGTTGGGATGTCCCTCTCCCCCCCCCCCCCCATGGAAGCTCACAGCCAGGGGCTCTGTTTAAATAGTTTCCTCTTTATTGTAGGCGCTGGGGGGCCCAGCAGCTCGGTCACGGGGTGCACGCCTGGAGTGTCGTCTGTCACCAGAAAGGGGGGACGGGGAGCGAAAGCTGAGACACAGCCACAACAGCAGGGGAAGGGGGGGCCCGGACTCCTGGGTTCTTCACGCCCCTCCAGAGGGAGCTCAGCTCTTCTGCAGGCCAGGAGCCAGCCCCACTGGACTTCACAGGATGGGTGCAGGCAGGGGGGGGTCGGGGGCAGACGGGGGGGGGACCCCACATTTAGTAGGCGTGGTCGGAGATGAAGAGGGACTCACTGGCAGCAGCTCCGCCGTGGCCACTTGGGGTGTATTTCCCCTGGCAGGCGAGGCTGTTAGCCTGGGGAGGGAGAGAGAGATCAGTACCCCACGCCCTGCCCCTGTGCCAGCCAGGCCCCCTGCTGGGACCAGCACCCCATTCCCTGCCCCCAACCCCTGAGGCCCCGTGCGGGGGCCAGCCCCCCCACTCCTTACCCCATTCTCTGAGGCCCCGTGCGGGGGCCAGCCCCCCCACTCCCTACCCCATTCTCTGAGGCCCCGTGCGGGGGCCAGCCCCCCCACTCCCTACCCCCTCTGCTGGGGGCAGGTACATACCAGAGCCCGTTTGATGTACTCCTCCTGGGCGTTCTTGGCGTTCTCCTTCTTGCCGGCCCAGGCCTTGAGGGCAGAGGCCTGCAGGGCGCGGCCGTAGGAGAAGGTGAGGGCCCAGGGCTTGTGCAGGGAGCACTTGTTGATGGCGTTGAGGTTGAGCGAAGCCTCCTCCTCGCTCTGCCCACCGGACAGGAAGGTGATGCCTGGCGGGGGGAGGGGGGGGGTTCAGCAGCAAGCCACGCAAGGGGCCCAAAGGAGCATCCCGCCGGGGGTCACTGGGCTAAGGGGGGGTGACCAGTGCACTGTGGCTGCCTTGGGGGCCCTGGGAGGGGATGGGCCAGATCCCATGACGCCCACCAGCACGGAGCCACCCCGTGGACTCCCGGGACTCACTGAATGCCAGCAGTGCCAGAGGGGACCCACTGATCCCACCCCCACCCTCTGGTACCCCCTGAGCGAAGGCTGGGCTGAAGGGGACCCACTGACCCCCCCCAGTAGGTCTGTCTGAATCTCACCCTCCCCCTGAGCTGGGGGATGGTTTCACCTCCCCCGAAACGTCCTTTTCCCACTAACACCCTCTTCTGCCCCCAGGACAGTGGCCCCCCCACCGACGGCAGACCCCCAGCGTCTCCTGACAGACCCTGCAGCATGGGGCCAGGCCAGTGCCCGTGACAGGTGACATGTTCCAGGGAAAGCCCCCCGGTTCTCCGGGCTGGGGGGAGCTTCTGATGGGGGGCTCACCGGGCACAGCGGGCGGCACGGTGCGGCGCAGGGCAGTGACGGTCGCCATGGCGATCTCCTCATGGCTGTACTTCTTGGTGCAGGCGTGGCCGGCCGTCACCATGTTGGGTTTCAGCAGCGTCCCCTCCAGGTAGACGTGGTGGTCACTCAGAGCCTTGTACACGGCTGCCAGCACCTGGGGGTGGGGCCAGAGATGGGAGACTCCGCCCCTCACTGGCCAGGGGAGACCCCTCCCCGCTCCCTTCCCAGCCCTCCCAGGATCCTGCCCCACTGAACGCCACTCCCAGCCCGCCCAGCCAGCGGCAGGGAGGCATCCCCCGCTCACAGCTCAAGGCTCAGCCACGCCACGGTGCCCCTCTCACCTTCTCGGTCACATACTGGCAGCGCTTCAGGTCATGGTCCCCATCGGGCAGGATCTCCGGCTCCACAATGGGCACGATCCCGTTCTGGGGGAGCAGGCAGAGGGGTGGGGTCAGAGACCCCCAGACACAGCAACTCAGCACCCCCATCCAATGGCCAGATGGGGAACGGCAGCTGCCATGTGCTCACTGTCCCCACCCAGTGGGGAGACAGGGACCTGCAGCTCCCCACCCAGCCCCACGTCCGTGCCTCAGGGCCGCTCACCTGCTGGCAGATGCTGGCGTAGCGAGCCAGGACGTTGGCGTTCTCCAGGATGGCCAGGTGGGAGGGGGTGTGCTCCGAGATCTTCAGCACGCAGCGCCACTTGGCGAAGTCAGCCCCGTCCTTCTTGTACTGGGCACAGCGCTCGGACAGGCCGTCCAGCCCTGGGGGGAGGGAGAGAGCGTGAGCCCTGGGGCTCGTGCCCGGGCGTGGACCCCACAGGGGGCTGCCCTGCCATTGGACACAGCCCACATCACTCACCCTGGGTGGTGGTCTCTCCATTTGTCCCGGCCAGGGGCACGACACCTTTGTCCACCTGCGGGGCAGAGGGGTGGGTCCGTTCAGTCACTGGCTCCCTCTGAGAGCCCCCGATTCCCCCAATCCCTCCTAACAACCCCTCTCCAGACCATCGCCCCAGACATTCCAGTGGAGGGCCCTTAGGGCTTTGAGGGGTAACAAGGTTGCCCCAGGACCCCCCCCACCCATCAGCCCAGATACCCCTAACCCATCCCCCTCCCCAGCAGCCCCAGACACCACCTCCCGTTCTCCCAGCCCCCATGTCGTCCCTCAGTCCCACACCATCATCCCTACCAACCCTGCCACCAGAACCTCCCAATCAGCCTCTCCCCTTCTTCCCCTGCAATCCCGTCTGCCCCCGTCCCCTAGACTCCTCTGCCAGTACAGCGCCGCAACCCCCATCCCGATGCCCCCATCCTGTCACCCCACCAGCCCCAGGCCCTCCCCGCCCGCTCTCACCTTGATGCCCACCACACCGCCCTTGTCCTTGATGACCTTGGTGAAGGGGTGGCTATCGTCGGCCTTCTGGTACATGGTCTCATGGAAGAGGATGACGCCCCCGATGCAGGGATTGACCCGCTGGTCGGCCGTGAACAGCAGTTGGCGATAGAAGCGCCGGTTCTCTTCTGTGTTCTCCGCGCCGACGGAGCTCAGCCGCTTGGCGATGCTGCCTGGGGACCGGGGCGGGGGGGGGGTGTCAGCTGGAGCCCCCTCCATCCTGAGCCCTAGCTCCCTCCCGCCAGCCCTGCCGGTGCCCCTCACTCCCGACCTGCAGCCCCTGCTAGCCCAGCCTTGGGCCCCCCCCCAGCTCTGCCGGTGCCCCCCACTCCTGACCCACAGCCCCTGGGAGCCCAGCCCTGCCCCTCACTCCTGGCCCGCAGCCCCCTTACCGGTGGACTCATCCGCGGCGAGGATGCCCTTGCCGGGGGCCACAATGCGGTGGGCGATGTCTGAAAGCTCCTTCTTCTGCTCCGGAGTGAGGGCTGGGTACTGGTGAGGCATCGTGAGCGACTGCGGGGAGAGACGGCCGCCGAGGTTAACCCCGCCCAGACAGAGAGACGTGCTGGCCCGGGGCTCCCGCATGGCAGTCGTGGGCGCTCCCGCTAGAGGGGTCCTGCCATGCTGGGGGAGAACCGGAACCCAGGCGTTCGGGTAGGGCTCCCCCCATGCTCCCAGCCCCTGCGGGGGGACCCAGGCCCTGCAGAGCTCACAGCCTCCAGGGACCAGTGGACGAGAGTGTGTGTGTGGGGGGGGGGGGGAGTGGGACCCAGGCGCCCCGGGAGGGGCCCCCCCCGGACGGTGCAGGAGGGGACCCGGGACAGCAGCCCGAGGTACTGCTGGCCCCAAGGGGGCGCCCCCGCGCGCATTCCAGAGATGCCACAAACAACCTTCCTGACCTTGAGACTGGGAAGCAGCCGCAGTGGGGGGGTGGTCGCCCGGACCCCAGAACCTGCAGCGGGCAACTGAGGTCAAGGTCACTTCGAGAGCAGGGGGCAGAGATGGGGAACCCCGTGGGGTGTCAGGGAGGGGGGCACAGGGAGGGGATCCAGGACCCCCCTTTCCAGCTCACCCAGAGGAAGCAGGATGGAAGTGAGGGGGTGCAGCTGGCTCTGGGGCGCGATGGT